CCTGCCAAACGGTGACTGCTGTGATGGTGATGCATTCAGGCTTGGTATTGCTGATAAAAAGATCTTTAAATTACATTGATCGGTGTTGTAAGACTATCATACCGGTAGGGGCATCTTAAACTGGGACAGATGGACTGTATGCAATTACCGGTATCAAGCCCCACTTGTGCTTGTATTTTGCCGTACCCCGGTACTAGTGGCTGTTTCTATGCATGCTAAACTGCAGCTGTACTATATTATAAAGGCCGAGTACTAAAAGTAGTTTCTCTTCCGGCCTTTTTGAAAAAATGAAGGAGGCGGGCGCTTTTTTTTTGGTTCCATTTTTTTCCCCCAAGATGGCAATTTTCCAAGATAGCGAATGTACAATGTAGAATGTATTCTTCAATTTTCTTGACGACCGATATTTTTTTGCTGATACAAAATTGTGTCCAAATTTACAATGTACCCTTTCTACTTCCCATTTATAATTTTGTTGGAAACAAATAAAGAGACAATATTGACAATACGTGTGCACACAATACCAGTAGGCCTATACATTGCAAATGTATGAATGAAGAAAAAAAAGGAAACAGCTGGGGAAAAAAAGAACGGCGGTTGGGGACGAGAAAATGCTAAAGTTATTTAATCAGCCTAATAAAAATAATTGACATACACTTTAGCTTTAGTTGGAAGTACACGTATCAACATTATCCTTTTCCCCCCAATACACGTGTACTTGTAGTATGGTACATTGCTTTATAGTAAGCAGAGCAATTTGTCCCTGAGATGCGGTTGCTCCAATTGTGGTTTTAGGGTCATGTTTATATTTTGGTAGTTGCACAGTAGCAGTGTACGTGTAGTGGAGTTACAATGTTGTGACTGGACCACTCAACTACTACATGGCTTATTGATCAGGTAATGAGGCACATGACTCTTAGTCTTAATTACATCCACAGTTTGTACAACCTAATGCACATGTAGCGTGTATACAAGTGCTCATTACTTGCCAGTCTGGCAAGCATCCTGTGTAGAGTGCCCAGTAATTTTGGATTTAAGCAAGCTTGGGAATGGCAAAAGATATTGTTTGTAGTTTTTTTTTCCATAAAGTGAAATTGATAAACCCTGACTTATAAGCATTTTGCATATTGAACAAGAGATGCGTGGAAATGCACGTCTGCAGTTGGTTCATTTTTGTGCCCCGACTAAGTGTAATACATTTGAATTTTTAATAATGAATAATAAAGACTGGATTGACCTGAAAGTCACAAATCCAAATTAGTAAGAGTAAGATGTGAATTTTTATTACATTCATGAGCAACAAAGAATAAAGACTTGTTCTCTTAGAACAAAAGGAAACTTTCTGTAATTTGTTTGATTGTTTGTCCTCATTGATGACCTTTGTAAAGGAATCCTATTTTACTTGTTCACTGTCCTTTCTTTGTTTTCACTTTTATTTGTTGTTACCTTCATGTACAACATCTCCAAAGTACACTCATTCCCTGACAAACCTTAAAGCAAAAAGAACCTTCATCCGTGTAAATAAATCAAACGAACCATTCTCAGAATGTATTACTTTAATGGTGTGTGTACTCTGTCCAGTCACTCTGGAACAGCAGGGGGTCGCGTCATTTCATTGACCCCTATTGCTATTGTAGGCCATAGCGGTTACCAGGACAACTATACACAGTTGTTGGAAAGTAGTCATTCAGGATGTGTAATCAACCGTTCATAGTAGATCAACGGACTCTCATGCATTTACACTGACTTTACCCGGGGATTTGAAAATACTGAATGCAAATAGACATTGTATGTGTTGTGTCAGACTATTTTCATCACTTGTTGTAGTTCACATCTCTAATGCATTTTCCTTTTTAATTTGTATACACTACAGGAATGTACATGTAAACAAACTATTTTACTCTTTAGGAAAATCACAAACCCCATATTGTAGTACAGATGTGTAAAATATCTCTTTTTTAGCAACAGGGTTGTACACGTACAAAAATGTATAGATACATTGTACGTGTACATGTACATGTACATGTTTGCACACTTTGCCACTCAATCAGGAATAAGAAGAAAAAAAATTGTATCCACCCAATGTAAACTTGCAGTGAATATACATGTATTGCAGCTTGTTCAAATAAAGGTTCAGACCTCATGATGTAAGGAGTATGTACCGGTATGTACAAGCTGATTTACCCGATCATAGATCGGGTAGGGCGTAGTGTTGGGGATGAAAATTTGGGGAGTTAAATGTAAATGGGGATATAGTTAAGGAGACATGCAGTTATAGAAAAGCAATTTCTGTGGTGTGATCTGAGGCAATTTCTGACCACTAAAACCAATTTTAGCAAAAGATCATCTTTTAAAGTTTTGAGTTTGGAGTAATTGAATCAGCTACATGTATTCTGAGCAATAGAATCATTGTTGTAGGCTACAATTAATTTTTATTCGGGGAAGAAAAACTGGGGGGGGGGGAACCAAACAATGTCCCCCGCTTTAAAATGGGGGGGGGGGGGGTTCCCCCTGTCCCCCGTCGATTTATGCACATGATAATTATGTACCATGGCAACTAAATGTTCCCGTTGGTCTGTTAAATTGGCATTTTGTGAGGCAGTCGCATTTGGAAAACGCAGTGAAAAGGTTACCGTAGTACACAGGCGAAGGCTGATTGTACAGTTTCGACAATAAATCATAATGCAATAAAACGTAAAGGTAGGTGTCATTTGAAATGAAAATGTTGAGTGTTACCATAAATTTACAAACGGTCTGAATCATGGACAAAGGTCATAGTTAAGTTTCAGTATTGGACTCTTCAACAAACGTAAACTTGAACTTCTTACAATTTGCGAGACCGTCTGCGAGGAAAAAGTCGATTTAACTTTTATTGAAGTTGGTTCAACCATCTATATAAGAGCAAGTTTTACTCGGCCTCCGAGAAATGTTTGCTCCTGAAAGGATCCGAGACCGCGGTCTCCCTCGACACGTACACCAAAATGGCTCCACGTCCGTGGAAAAATGTGGGTGTCTTCCACCGGGTCGGACACTTTTTCGTCAATTTTTTTGTGAATGCATCGATCCTTCGTTGACCCCAAACATGCCCCCGAAATTATAACACGACACTGAATTATACGTGGCGGGCAGCGAACTCACAACGCTCAGCCTTGGTGGTGGAAGCATGGAGCTGTAAACACATTATGGAAGCAACAGCACTCTATCACGCAACGTCACATGCTTGTGCTCAAATAGCGAGCACCGTAGACTCAACCTCGTTTCCAGGGTGTGGAGCAGGCTGCAGTACGCGTTGCCAGTGACGGTTTTACGCATAGCCGGGAAGTACCACGCAGTGTAGACTTTCGATTGGTCAGACCGCGCTAGGCATACTAATGTGTAGTCCTTCTGAGTATTCGTTGCACTCGGCACAGGGGCGGCAAGCGAAGCATATGAAAGAATAGGGACACTTGGTGGCCACGCACCATGGACAAAAAATATTTTTCCAAGGTCACCCCATACTAACGTTTGGTGAACTCTTTTTCAAAACAGCCGAGTAGAACACGTAAACGCAACCCCTACGTTGACCTCGCTGACCTCGCACAGTCTAGACACGCAGAAAAAGCCAGCACAGGGGGCGGCCAGGCAGTCAACGTGAAAGCGCACACGACGGCAAATTCCTGCGCAAAACGCAGTCACGAAAAATCGACTAAACGGATCGCCGGGCCGTACGGGAAAATCAGGACGACCCGAAGTGTCCGACCCGGCGGAAGACACCCTCCGTATTTTTCCACGGACATGGAGCGATTTTGGCGCCGCGGGAGCCCGCGGTCTCAGATCCTTTCATGAGCAAACATCGTCTGGGAGGCCGAGTTAAACTCTCTCTTATATATATAGATAGCTTATTTTTATCATGTGGTTTTAAGTATAAAAATATGTACCCATGTGTGTTTGTGTAACAGTCATTGACCTTATTCTTCAAATGGCTTTATAGAGTTTTTATTAAATGTAAATATTATGCCGACAAGATACACCATGAGTTATTGGAGGTCCTTCCTGTCCCTTAGTCTAAATATTGATCTACTTTGTGTCCCTCTCCAAACTATTTCACTGCCCAAGGGCTATATTGATCAACCCACTCTCAATAGCAAAGGGCCACCCTCTGTGTTGACATTCGCTAACTACCCTGGTAATTCTGGACCAGGAATTCTGCCAGCTTTCCCCTTTTGTTTGGACACAAAAGCCTGGAGAAATTTTCTGTTTGGTTTTATAATTAGGACAGAGAGTTGTTGGTGTGGAGTAATTTGAAGTCTGGATTGATGAGTGACTGGTTAAGAAAATTAAGAAAATATTTGCATAATTTGTCTTTCTAGTTAAGAATTGTTGGTCAAGTGAGTGGATAATATAAGTAGTCAGCTGAGAAAAGCTTGTATTTGTACAACACAGAGATTTTGGTGACAGTGTCATTTGTGAATATTTGATTACATGAAACACATATCCTTTCCATCAATGGTTTCTGGTTAGTTCTTTGTCGGAAAGCAGCCACATTTCTTAAAATTGAAACAGTAAAAAACAGTGACATTTAAAATATGCAAAGTTTTTATTAAAGAATGTAAAAACAACCCCTTAACTCCCCCCCCCAACTCCCCCAACCCCTCCCCCCCAAAAGACCCCAACAAACTGAAAGGCCTAGATCAAATAATCATCCAACCACTAAATGTCTGGGAAAAAAATAACAATCAAATTACGATTAAAAGAATGATAGATGATGTTTGATTTTATGTAGAAAATTGTTCATCTTTGGTTCGTCGGGCACCAACTCGCAAGCACCAGCAAATTTTGCAAAGGGTATTACTGGATTTTTTTGCATTCCAAAAAATCTTAATTATTTTGTAGATTGGTACCAGTGACTCCAGAGATTCAAATTCTGCAGTAGAACTGGTAATTCCTTTGTTCTCACTTTCAGAAACAATCCCATGTTCGATTTCCTCATTATTTATAATTTCTCTTTGTTTGTTCTTATTCAGATTTATCAAGATCTTGGCACGGAGGTTTTGAATGCATCCTTTAGTGGGTACAATGCCTGCCTGTTTGCATACGGACAGACAGGCTCCGGAAAGACCTACACAGTCATGGGAGATGATGTGAGTATTGTAGACAGTGATACTTGATACCTTTTCCAAGACCTTACATGTTCATACATGTACATAAAATTTGTATCCTTATGGAGGCATTCCTTTGTTCTCGTGTAGTAAAGTTTTCAAGTTTGAAAGTGTAGTTTCAAAATGCTCTTATTTTAACCAGAATTAATTTCCTTGGCTGAAATTCGGAATTAATATACCTTTTCTAAAACTCTTCCATTTGCGACAAATCAACCCACCTTGGAAATTCCTAGTTTTTGAGTAAAATCCATATATCTCTTTTGTGAAAACCTTGTGGAGACGTATTCATCTACATGTATAGAAATTGCCCCGTGGAGATGTATACATACAATCTTTTGTTCCCTATTGTGTGCATGTCTCCAGAGGGCACGGTGTATCAGATCAATGGAACATCAAATTCAGTTTAAGCGAATGAACATAATTGAACAAAAACTCTCAGTGCATTGACTTTCAATATGTACAAAACAGTTTGGTTGTTTTAGTGTGAATGTAAACACATGATTTAAAGTAATCAATAAATTGGGGCAATCTTCAAACGGATCTGAAAAGATCCGGAATGATCTCTGTGATATTTTCCCTTTTTTGGACACAAATGTGTCCAAAAATGGACACAGTGTTTAATTCAATTAAATTTGCATTCCCGTGCTCTTAAACGACCTCATTTTTTTTCTTTTAATAAATTTCCAACTTATATATTTTATTCTTATAAAAAACCTCCCCCTTTTTTCGATCTTTGACATCTGGAACCATCCCCCCCAAAAGGGTTTTTGTTTGGGGGTTTTTGCTTTGTGAGCAGACTGGCTCCCGGTCCATACATTATCGAGTCTGATTGTGGGGCAGGAACCAGCCTACCCAAACGAGAATGAAATTTCATGTATTGTCTGGTAGCCAATAATTTCAAAGTGTAAAGTAATAATTCAATAACTCAACTTGGGCCAATTTTTTTTAGGTCAATGTCTCTTTCAAAATTGTCTTGCTAGAAGTAGGAATACAGGGTGAGTAAAAAAAAAAAAATGAAACCCAAATGTCAGGACTATTGCTTTATTGAAGTTCTGCATGTAGCACTTTCAAAAATCTAGGACATGAAAGCCCAATTCATTTAAGCTTTCTTTTAGTACAAGAATCATTCAAATCACTCATGTACTTTTCAAGTTACGGAATTTTAAACATAACCACCGCTTTAGAGTTCTGTCCACGGATCACAAAAAAGGTGTACGTTCTTTCAGCAAAACAAAAACAATTCACACACATCCCAATGTGATTTTTCATTTTGCTGAAAGAACACTGACCTTTTTTGTGATCCGTGGACTGAACCTCAAAACAGTGGTTGTGTTTAATATTCTGTAACTTGAAAAGTACATGGGTGATTTGAATTATGCTTGTACTAAAAGAAAGCTTATGAATTGGGCTTTCATATATCCTAGATTTTGAAAGTGCTACATGCAGAACTTCACTTAAAATAATGGTCCCAACATTTGGGTTTCGTTTTTTTTTTACTCACCCTGTATAGCAATTTTTTAAAAGGTATTTCAACATTTAGGCCTACGTGTGGAACACAACTGAATATAAAAAAAGGAGCACTTGAGGTATTATTCATTTCACATACAACTGTGTTAACATTGTGTGTGATTGCCATTCAGGCGAATGCTGGTCTGATACCCAGGATCTGCGAGGGAATGTGCAGTAGAGTGGATGATCTAGAACAGGGTGTCACCTTCAAGATAGAAGTCAGGTGAGCTTTGCTGTGTTTTGGAATTGACATGTTAGGCTATGGCTCTAACCCTAACAGCCCTGAATCCTTCAAAATCCTCTTTGCCAAAGTAGAGGAATCTGGAGGATTGAGGTCACGCGTTACTGATTTCTGAGGATGCACTTTGTCAAGGTCTTGGGCCAGACCTTGTGTTGTTTTTGCTCAGCCATGCATGAATTTAGGCCTGGATTATGCTTGAAATCCTCCGTACTGCTCCAGGATGTCACTGGCCAAGCCTCAACATATTGACAGTCACTGCCGCAGGATTTTCCACTATTCAGGCAGTGGTCACCCCTCCAAGGACCATATTCAAGAAAAAATTGATGAATTTGCAGGATTGAGGCTGTATGCTATTTTTCCATGAGGCCAATTGGAGGATTTTGCAGGATTGAGGCTACATCCTAGCAAAAAGTCCTAAGGAGTGAGGGTTAAGTTATAATTTTGAAAATGAACAAAGAAGTCGACTGAAGCGGGGTTTGAACCTACAACCACATGTCAGTAACAGTACATGTATTGCTGGTTCAAGCACAGAACCGGGTAGTTAACCATTTTTACTGGTAGCTCTCGCCTGAACTTGCTTCTGGCTGAAGTCCGGTTGTTTTTTTGTGCAGAAGTGAATGACATTTCGATTGTGTGATACGAAAAGTATTTGCACTGCCAATTTGCATAAGTTGGGCAACTCTTGTTTCTGGTACATTTAGCAGCAAGCTGTTCTGCGGTGTTGATTTTAATTTCACATTCATGTTTGCCTGAAAGTTTGCCTTTAATATAAAAGAACCCCAGTGACTTAACTCGCCGGTTGTATTACAAGCACAAGCATTTGAAGACCTCAGAAATGATGCGAATGCACTGATAATGTAGAGATTTATGCCAGACAAAGTGCAGCAACTTGACAATGTGCTTCACTGACACAGGTTTAATACATCAGTTTACAACTAGAGCAACTGTCCAAAATTACAACTAGACCGATCAATCTTGCCCATCGTGACACATGCAGCAATTTATGAGGATAAAATAAGGCAGGCTCCAGGCAGCTTGACTAAGAAAATAAATTTGTAGCAATTAAGGCAAAAAAAAAAGTTAAAATACACCCGTAAATGTGGGTAAAATTATTGTTGGAGGTGGCAGATTTATTAAAATTGATATCCAATTGTAACAGATTTACTGAAATTGGACTTGAGTAGTACTGATGTCATGGACATAACTCGTGACTTTTATGACTTCAAATGCAGCCACAGTGAAAGAATAAAAAGCCAACCTTTTTTTTGTACATACCCTGTGTCAAACAATTTTTTTTCATTTAAAGGTATAGTCCATCATTTGTAATTTGTGCATTTTGCTCGTTTGAAGCAACAAATTCGCTCAAAATCTAAAGAAGGGTGCTGAACAACTAACCTGATGAAGTTTCAGCTCAGCTTCAGCTGTATATTCCGAGAAAAACAGCATTCTAGGATTTCGCTTTCAAAATCAAAAGTTGCTGAATCATGTTTTGAATTGGGCCTGAATTCAGCGTCCGAGACACGTTCTCACTGATCCCGATTGCAGCTCCGTGATGACGCGCACCGATCCGACGAATTATTAGCAACTGCGCATGCATGTGCGTCATGCCAAAGCTTGCACGCACTTCGGCGAACAATAAAACAAACTACCAACGGAAATTTAAAACGGTGCGTCTCAAGAGTTTTTTAGACGCACTGTTGGAAAGGCCTTCTTTCATTGTTTTCGTCAAAATGACAGCTTGCCAGAAAGATTAATTTCACAGGGAGTTTAGTCCCCTTACTATCTTTCACCCAAGTACATGTATGTTTTTCAACAATAATTATGCTTTTTGGATAGCTGCAAATGATAGCTTTAAGAGCAAACACAACTTGGATCTGTGTTGAGTAAGTAGCGGTAGCTGGATCACATGCTCAATTTCATAAATGGGTACTTATTTTGTTAAACATTTTTCTTTTTTAAACAGCTACTTAGAAATCTACAATGAGAGAGTGCGGGACCTCCTTGCGTCATCCAGCGACACCAACTACACGTTAAAAGTCAGAGAGCATCCCAAGGATGGACCCTATGTCCAAGGTCAGTGGTGCTCAGACAAAAAAAGCTTAGATTTGTCCATTCGGTGCCAAGCAGAAACCTAGTCGAGTACCAGTCACATTGCAATGTCAGTCACTCTTGGCTGGTAACCTGTTTTTGCTAAGCAAATTTCTGTACCCAGGTGCTCTCTGAAACTGGGCCGTGCTGGTCTTGTCATCCAACAGACTGGGACCTAGAATGCAGAAAACCTGCAAAACAAATTCAAGCCAACTTTACTCACTCTTTAGATCAAATTCTCCAAAATGTTCATGAGACAAAGATCAGGCCCTCAGTATTTTACCAGCCAACTTTGAGGTCTCAATTCAATTTTTAAAGGAAAATTTTCTTAAATATTTTGCACCTCATCTGCATCTTCGTCTTCATCTTCATCTTCATTTTCATCTTCATCTTCATCTTCATCTTCATCTTCATCTTCATCTTCATCTTCATCTTCATCTTCATCTACATCTACGTCTACGTCTTCGTCTTCGTCTTCGTCTTCGTCTTCATCTTCATCTTCATCTTCATCTTCATCTTCATTTGGATACATGGCAACAGGCCAAACTTGGGTGCAGAGTGTGCTCAGTTCCGTCCAAGTTGGATGGCCGCTTTGAACAACTCAGAACTACCTGAGAGCGAAGCCAAGTGAATTCAATTTGAAGCCTAAGACTGGACTGGTACATGTCCAACCTTTTGAAAAGACTGATCTCTTCAGTTGTCTGGTGGCAGACTTAAGGAGAGATGTGAACCGTAGGAAAAGAGACCGGTACCAGATATTTCTTTTGACTCAGTTGACTGATGCAGTACTAATGGGGCATTGAACTGGTTGTTTCATGTGCCAGTCTATTTTCTTGTATTGCATTTTTACACTTTCTTTTAGTTTTGGGACTCTCATCAATCACAGTATTGAGAGTCCCAAATTTTTTGACTAGTCTGCCACCTGAAATAGTCTGCACGGTAGTCCTTTTTTGTCTCAAATTTAGCAAGTTATTTTTGCAGGATTGTGGTTGGCATAAACATTTGAGGGACAAGATGCTTGAAATTTTGCAACCCTAAAAAAAAAAATTAGGAAGTGACCTAAAGTCACCGTCTCCAAGGTTTAATGCATTTTGTGCCACTTTTAGAAGAACATTGTAATTCAAATTTAGAGTTCAGGTACTGGTATTGGCTTTTGTTCTCATTTGTTCATTTAACCCTAACAGCACTCAACCCATCAAACCCCAATGGCATGTTTTGTTGGAATCTGTCGGGATGGGTACAGAACCCCAAAACTTTTACATTGGGTTGGCACACCTCCAAAATCAAAGTCAGAAATATGTGTGTGCAGTTTCCCGGTGTTGGAAGTTGCCAGGATGGGTACATGGTTCCTAAATCATGTTAGGGAGTTCATCAGGTTAATCGTTTAATTGGAGGAGGGGCTGACTGACTCCTGTGAGTTTCATGTCCTAGTTACTGTATGTTAGCTTCCTTCATTCACTGCCTGGTAAATCATTCACCTCAAACTTAAATTGACTGTCAAATTCAGCAAAAAGTGCAAGTGTGCTGGATGTGAAACTAATTCCCACAGGCTTCTAGAAGTTAATTTTGAAATGCATGTCTGTGATAACTCGGCAATTAACCACGATCTCCCGCTGTTACATGTGGTCTGAGATCCTTGTAAACCATATGGATGAGGCATCATCAGTTGGCAAATGGGCAAATAACCAGATGCTATTGCCATGATTCAGTTGCGCTCAATAATCACTACCGTTTCTATTTCTGTCTGCTGCACTGATCATAAAAGGTGGTATGCAGTAAACAGCATGGATGGTTAACTAAGCTTGACCAAATGAATACTTTATGTGGATGTCATCAAACGGAGGCTTGATTGTTGGAAGCAGTGTAGGGTTGATATGATAGCAGTAAAAATAATTGAACAAAGCACCGGAACAATTACCGTAGGAATTCGAAGTACACTTTAACAATGTGTAGAAGACCAAGTTGAGCACAAATGTACGTGGGCGATTCCACGGAATTATAAACCTTAATGCTAAAACTTCAAAAAATTTAATACCAAAAATAAATTATGTAGGCTTTACTATAGGCCTAATTTTGAAGCTTATTATCATTATTATATTGAAATATAACAATGTTGGATGGTTCCACTTTTATTTTAAAGTAAAAAATTAATTAAGTACACGAAAAACATAATTGTCTCTGAGTATTAAAGTGCAACCATGGTGTTTCGAGCCCATATCTACCGGTAGTAGGCCTACAGAAAAAAGTTAAATAATTAAATCGTTGTAATAAATAATTGATCCACTTTATGATTATAACTTTTATTAGGCACATTGCCCAAAATGTACATTTAATCCAACACCGTGGAACTGCCCAAATATATCTGGGCTTCAGGCTGAAAAACCAACATTTATTTCTAAAGAAAGAATAAACTGCTTGCTTGGAAGTTACCAGTACGGCAGCTTGTAATTTTATGTACCTTTGATCTTTTTTTATGTCTTTGGAGTTTTTATTAGATGATAAGATTTCTCCTCTAATTTTTGTAGCCCTCTCAAAAAGGTGTATGTAACAGGCCTATCTAGGCTTCCCTGGATTTTTTCCAGACCTTTGCTTAGTGTATGTTGGGTCATGTAGCCTACCAGTACCTCTGGCCTATACCCTATGAAATATCCAATGTTTTTACAGACTCCCAAGGATAATTGTGTAAATGACATCTCTCTCATTTAATCTTTAAACATTTCAATAGACCGGCAAATAATTATGACCACAACTAATAGTGTACAGATAACACGATGTTCTTAACTTATTGTTTATCCGTCCGTTACTTTTTGATTAAACCAGTAAACCATAACGTCAAGATAAAAAAGATTGGTTAATCGTTTTACCCTAAACTTTGAAGATGCATCATGTTTGAAATATTTAAAGATGATTCCCATGATATTTTTGAGTTTCACTTCAAAAAATAGATGTTTTTTTTTTCAATTGCTATTTTCCTATCAATTTAAAAGTTATTCACTTGCAAATGAGACATTGCACAAACAAAAATCCACCGATGTTTAGTTACTGAATTATTTCTTCACAAAATTCAAATTATTGGCTGCTGGACAATAATTTGGCTCTTGCGGGGCGGGTTGTTTGTGCATGAAATGAAAGCCCTTTTTGGAGGGTTGCAGATGCCCAATATCGGAATAAATTAATTTTTGTCCCCTGCCAAAACAAAACATGTAAATTGAAAATTTGTGAGGAGAAAAACAAAATCCATTTTTGTTTCTAAAGAGCATGGGGTGTACATCTTTAACTGTAGCTTAGTACATGTACGTACATGTACATGTAGTTCCCACCATGTGGTATGGATTATATCTAGGTAACATTCAGTAGAAAGCATAAGATTGGTGACATTCTCTACTGGGAGGCAGTTAAGAAGACATCAATTTCAAACAATAAACACTAAAGTTGTTCCCCCTTGTTTTTTTCTCCTGCTTCAGATCTGACAAGGCACTTGGTGTCCGACTTCAATTCCGTCATGATGCTAATAGCTCAGGGTAACAGAAACAGGACTACAGCAGCAACTCACATGCACGAAGCGAGCAGCAGATCGCACGCCATCTTCACTCTCAACTTTGTTCAGGTAATCAGTGCTTACACCCTCTAGTCCCAGTTGGTAGATTTGGGGAGCACCTCATAATTCAGAGAACACACACTTCATTGCTTCACACAAAATAATGATCCGTTGCAATACTCGCAGTTACATCAGATTCGAACTGGTCAGCCAGTCCTAAGCTGAGTGGTCCAGTGGTACGACATCTGCACTAGTAAGCTGGAGCCATATTCATGAAACTTTACTAACATAGCAGCCAACTAGGCCTTAGTAGGATACTGAAATGCCTAGTGGTCTACTGTGGAGTTGACAACTAAATTGTTATTCATGAAACCTTACTAAGAACCTTGCTATTATTAGTTACATACTGGATACTTTAGTTGCATACCTGAGTAACTGGAATTGGGTGCTTTTGGGTGGAGTGGGCATGTATGGAATGTGATGACAACAGATACAATATTGTGACAGGTGTATTAGGCTAATCCATGTCCAGCACTTGCGTGGATTGGCAAAAAAAAAAAGAAGGAAAAAAAATGACCAAGGGCTATATGCGGTATAGGTGTACCAACTAGGCTTAGTAAGCAACTACATGCCTTTTTAGTAACCAACTAGGCTTAGTTAGGCTTCATGAATATGGCCCCTGGAGATTACTGGGTCTGAGTCTCACTTCAGTTAGCTTGTGATTTTTTATTCACAAGGCCTCCAACTGCACCAAGTATCAATTGCCTATGACATTCAAAGATGACAGGTTGACAAAAGACTCAACATTGAATTTACATCTCCTTGCCACAAAATTGTCTTCTAATTCCAGATGTATTCCTACGGAATTGTAAAAAAGCACCTATTAGAGTTGCAATAGCGTGCAACACCTCACAAGGCAAAATCTGACAAGTCAATCTTAAGTCAATCACAAATCAACATTAAGTCCCTTGGTCACATGTGAAGCCACAATCCATTCAAATAAACTGCGACGAAGGCATTCCTTTTGGTCATTGTTCAATGTCTGTTTACTTGTGACCTTACTTTGGATTTTACTTGTGATGGAGTTGATCGCAAATCTGAGTACTTACTGGAAACCCATCTCTCGGGGCCCATTCTCTTCCCAGAAGAAAATATTCAGAAAGGCATTGATCAGAGAGTCCTACCAATAATTCTTGTGTTTGTTGATGGTATCCTTTTTCAGGCCAAGATGGTGAATAACATGCCCAGTGAAATAGTCAGCAAGATCAACCTGGTTGATTTGGCTGGAAGGTATTTACTTTCAATTTATCATGCCTTTGTTTACAATTTTGGGGAAATAATTTTATTTATGCTGAAGTATGCTTCGTATAAATAACTTTAATTCCTCGGACAATGTAGATAAAAAATTCCATAGCAGTTTGAGGAGGCACACTTGCCAGTTGAACTGATGTGTAACCTGCCTCAGTTGCTAATGTAGTAAATATGAATATATTTTTAACAGACATGTACGTCAAATGTTTCCGGCAAGATTGCTGAAATCTTTGGTGACAGTTTGTTCCAATAGCGGAAGGAGGAAAAACATTGTTTGTAGTTACTCCTGCGTGGCAGTTTTTGATCGGAACTAATACCACAATAAGTCAGTTCGCTATTTCAACTGCGCATGCGCACAATGATATATGGGTCACAGGTCATTCGGGATAATCAAACACTCATCGAAGGCACAAGGAGACAGTCACATGGAGACAGTCACATGATGCTTGCGTGTTAATTACAACCAGAATGGGCGTTTGCGTAACATCGCATAACATGCCCAGTTGTTAGGGTGACATAGGTGGCTTGTGCGTCAAGCACTCGCCTCTCACCAAGGTGACCACGGTTCGAATCCTGGCTGTGGATCGCATGTGAGTAGAGTTGTGGGTTGGTTCTCTCCTGTGCCATGACGGTTTTTCTCCGGGCCCTCCGGTTTTCCTCCCTCCGGAAAAATGAAACACTTTCGATCTCAGGCTGTGCTCCGTGGTCATATATGGGTCGATGTGGCTGGCTGCCATAGGCGCCTTTACGTGCCAGCGGCCCAACCACATTGTAGCCGCGTCCCTCGCAAATCAGCATACCAGCTGCAAGTTACGATGATTAGCCTCCAAATTATTATTATTATTATTATAACATCGCATCAGCCATTTATCCCGAATGATCTTTGACCTGGACTACCTCATCGAGATACCAAACTGGCTTATATTGTAACCAAGTCAGCAATCACTAAAACCAAGCAAAAAAACACAGTTCTGTAACATTGAACCTTCACCAATTCATAATTTTGTAGAATTTTTACTGCAAAGCTTCACAATTTAATGCATGTTTTGTTGAATGTACAGATTTAAGGTAAAATTGAAAGTATTGAAGTTGTGCGCAGTGTGAATTCTTCAAAATCGTTCAACTATTTGGAGGATTTTGAAGTACAGGGTTTAAACAACATCATTTGACAATTGTTGTGCCTTTCCCCCCTTTTTTTCAGTGAAAGAGCTAACCTCAACTACAGCAAGGGAAGACTGCAAGAAGGAGCAAACATCAACAAGTCCCTGGTTACCCTTGGCAACTGTATCTCGGCACTAGGTCAGTATAGTTACTATGGCAACTAGGTGTGAAATATTTTGACTCGTATCTTTTACCCCCTAGTATTGGTGTCATTAAGAAAAGAACGCCAGTTATAAATATGAAGCACTGAACATGAAATACAATAGTCTGTTGTGTTTGTGTATCGGGAAAGTTTCAGTGATTGTTGCCTGTTAATATTGACAAAGTTTGATTAAACCTAGCAGATGTCTAAAGATGTCAGTATTATCTTTCAAAAAAAGAATAAAAATGCAATTTTCACTCAAATTGGACTATAAACTGTGCATTATCTATGTGGTAATGCTGGGGTTAAGAGTTCATAAAATGGTTTACAGATCACAGAATTGTGGGTTCACAATTGATATTGTACAAGATCTCCTTCAAACAAAATTTATTAACTGTTATGACCTGATGCATGAATTGAAAAGTAACAAAGGTAACATTTCCATTCTAGAATTTTTTTCAAAAGCATGGATGGTGTTATACTCTTTTTCAAAGCCTTGTGCTTCAAGTGAAAAAACAAAGCATGTGTGAAAATCTTTGAAGAAGCTTATCAACCAATACCAGATTGTCATAAAATTTGAGGCGCTGATTACAAACCCAGCAGGGCTGCTGAGCTGATTCCCGTGATCAGTGTGCTTTTTCAAATGGTATCCATGTCAAAAATAATATGAATAGTCTTCTGATTTTTCTTTTGGTGAAAATGGCTCTCATTTCATAGCTCACTGACAAGTAGGGCTTATTTGGTCATTTGGTCAATGATATTACAGTACAAGGCTGCCAGATAGCAATTCTTAGTTTGCAAGTTTTTGGTAGATTTTTGTGCAAGGAACAAGTGAAGTCAGTTCAGTATAACACGATATGCATGAGTGAATATGTCAACCAGGATGTGTGGCTTTTGTGATACATGTATGTTTCGAATCTACGTGTATGTTTAGAATCTGCATGTCAGCATACTGACACATGTTTACAAAAATGTAGGTTACAATGCATAAATGAGCAAGCTCGGGTGCTGACTATAGTTAAGGCCAAAAAAAAAAAGTATTCGGTCTCTGGTCAGACCAGAGTTCCGGAATTGATGCGGCGGCGCGTTTTTTTGGGGGGGGGGGGGAAGCTTGGATTGTACACACAAGGTGGATACTATTTTACTTTTGTTGTGTCCTCATATACATTGGGGACCTCCATATTTTGCCTTGGTGCCCTCCATCATTTGCCTTGGTGCAATTTCCCCATTCCTTGGTACAAAAATTTGAGGAGGTGCGGCAGTAGAGGGCGCTGCTGTAGCTACCGCGGACAATTTGAAGAAAAAAAAAGGTTGACGCGCGCGCTGACCAGAGACCGACATATTTTTTTTTTTGGCCTAACCATACTTTGACTACCTTCACTCAAACGAAGGACGGTAGGACTACTCTAGTCGACGATTTGGAACCAGACCACAGGTTGCATCACTGGTTATTTATATTTGAACGCATCATAAAGCACAACAGGGAGGCAGAATCCAGACGTCTTGTGATGACGTTTTGACCAGCGTTTGACAAGAGGGGTTCGCATGCTGCTAATAGTGCGCAGGCATCAAGTTACATCACAAATCAGCTATTAGTCGACTAATGGTCATCATCCGAACTTGCTCAATGCTGTATTAACTTTGAAGAGTACATGCTTCATGCTCATAACGCCTGAAGGAATATCTAGTAGTCCATGTATGGTACAGTGTATGTTTACATGTACAGTGTTCTTCTAAGGGTACATAATGTTCAGTGTACGTACAACTATAAATTTAGGCTGGGGTTGGCAACGTAGGGGTCGGGATTTGATGTACATCATCCCAAAGCTTGACTGCTACATATGATTGTTCCAACTCAATGTTTTTGATGGCAGAATGGATAATGGATGGTTTGAATAATGAGAAGAGTTGTAAATGAGTTGGTCAAGTGCCAAATGACAAGTCAGGTCACAAGTACCGTAACAAGGGTTGAACCACCGATCCTCTACACAGGGATAAACGACTTCCCCAAATTTCTGGTTAGAGAAGTGATACGGCACTTGGGCGTCGTGCGTGCGCGAGACTCGGCGTGCTACTGCAGTCTTTCAGTGGTCAAATTTCTGTCAGGACGCCAGCTTTTGGCGATCATGGCGTGGGCGCATTGTTCTACATGTTCTATGCGTTGTTCTATGCGTGGACGCGGCATATCACGCATGTAGACAAACAGTTCCGTACATTTTGTACACAAGCTCAGATGAGTCGTTTATCCTTGTGTAGAGGATCCGTGGTTGAACAATGACAAAGCATTGCTTTTGTCACAGTTCAGCTTGCAACTTGTAAATTGACCAGTGATGACCTGATTAGAATACTGGAGACAATTGGACTTTTTGACCAATCATCAGTTGACATGATTGACATCTGCACCAGCCTGAATTAACATGACACTTCAAACACAAGGCAACCTTTATTCTTTGTTGTCTTCTTTGGTAGATCTTTGCGGGAAAAAGAAGGGAAAGTTGCTTACTGTTTTATTACCAGCATGTCGGTATACTAACTCGCATTGTGTGTCTTTGTTTCTGCTTGTGATTTTTGAAGGCATGGATTCTGAGGATGATGACGGTAAGAACGTAACAAATGTGAATGTTGCGCTGTTTCTTTTAAAAACCGAAATAATCATTTTGTCATTAAATGCATGGCAAATGAAAAAGCTGGCTGAACACTCACAATCAAATTGTCTGTACAGAGTCGCATATGGCTCACCCCAATCAGCTGCTCATGATGTTTTGTTTTTGGCTTTGTTTTGGGGAGTGAAGGGTTAACTAACACTATGACTAGTAATCTATTAACAACGTGACCATTAATCTCAGGGTAACAGAAATGAAGGCCTTAAGAGTCGCTACCATTTCGTACATCTTGTTGTTGGTTTCTTGACGTTCCTCTTTGATTACAATGTTGATAAATTTGACCTGTCACTGGATGCATGCAGATTGATGATCATACTGTTTGGTCTCCCTAGGAATGAGAAGTGACACTTTGCACAAAAAATTGGGATTATAAAACTTGAAAATACTTTAATTTTTTTTATCAGTAGGCCTATAGAAAAATTGAGCGTGCTATCACTGTACACTCACGTTCAGAGTCCCCCTTCAATGGCCAAAGCATTGTGCCAGTTATTGTACAAAACAACGCAAAACAGATTTTCTGAACAATTAGTACCATGCGAAGTGATTACTTTTGAGTGGGGGTACAGTGTTTGACTCATGTGCTGTGGCACATGGGTTCAAATCCTGAAGGGGAACATGGTGCTTGTGCTCTTGAGCAAGGCACTTTACCATTATTGGTTCGTCCTTCGGATGGGACGTAAAGCCCTAGGTCCCGTGTGTTGTGTAATGCACGTTAAAGAACCCAGTAACACTTATCGCTAAGAGGAGGGGTTTGCCCCGGTGTTTCTGGCAGTGGCTGCAATATGGGTCGCAACCCTTTATAATTTTTCTTATAATTTTCTCATATTTCTCTTAAAAACTTCATTTCCCTGTCTTTAAAAATAGACATAATAACCAGTGCCTTGAGTACCTAATTGTTGTTAGATACGTGCGCTATATAAGATTTGCTCCCCGACAGACTACAGTTCCTGAGGCGAAACTAGTCAGTAAACTTCCAATACCGAGGGGAGTTACAATCGACTATAGATCGGACCAAAGTAAACTGTTTAATTATACTTCATACATACACAGTCATTTTAAAAAGTTACGCATAAGTTTTCTCGGCAAAATGTTGTTGTGCCCCATCTTTTCTTGTAGCTGCTGCATCCGGCATGCCCTAGTTCCCCGTGCCCTAGTTCCACGATTGCTTCACAAAGCGCATGCGTAGTAGACTATCGCACTGGTAATCAGTCTTTAAAAAACAAAACAGAAAACTGTTCATCATGAGCTGGCATATTACCTCTGCGGTTTTAGTGCACAACACAAATCTTTGTTTGCTGCTGAACGGTGGCCTGCAAATCTGATTGCAGTGCTTCTCTTGAAGAAAACATTGGTTGGGTACGACCAAAATTCCCCAGCAGTAAATGAAAGATGCATGTTATGCCTGTGTTACAGAAACCAAGTTTCAATCTGATAACCATGTTTTGGTCTCAAGAAATTTGATGAAACTGTTTTGCATGTACTGGTATGCAACTGGCATAACTCATTAGGCCTGTTTCAATCAATTGTTGAACTTCAATATGCACATTTAGTCTATGGCATGCACATATAACTCTGAAATGTTTGATTGTTTCAATGTATTGCACAGATGTACCACTACAATGCACAAATGATTAACTCATTCACTTTTATTTGTCCAAACAATGTGTTGATTTCCACAAAAAAATGATTTTTTTTTTTAAAGAGTTTGTTTTTCTATGCATTAATAGACGGATTTAATTCATCCTTTTTGCGTAATGCAACAAAGTTCTTATGTGCTGTGAAGAGAATAAATGTTTCAGTCTGTTGTGTATTTCAAATTTTTTAAACAGATTCTTAAAGATGCATTCCCCCGTGCTATTTTTGAGGTTCACCTCAAAAAAAAAAAAAAAAAAAAGTTTTTTTTTCACTTCCTGTTTTCCTAGAAATGTAATTTGCTGCTTGAATATAATTCGGCTGTAGCAGGCATTGTGTTTGCAAAATGAAATGCCACTTTCAGAGGGTTGCTGATGCCCAATATCCGCATTAAGTAGTTTCCGTTAAAACAAAACATACAAATTGAAAATTTGGTGGGAGACAAAACAAAAAACATTTTTTGAAGAGCACGGGATTTGTACATCTTTAAATGTTTTTTTTTTTAATGTGTGTGTCTTTAACTCAAGAGCAACCTTGACTTAAATCTCCTTTTTTTGCCATTTCTTTAACTGAAATTGTGATAAACTTAGTATTTGTCAATTTCTGCTGCATGACTCTCATAAAAAAAAAATTATGAAATGTGTTCCTTAGAATTGTTAGAATTTTTAGCCAAGCATTGATCTATTGTTTATTAAGTGTCTTCTGCTCAATACATGTAATATGAACCTCATCTTCATCTTATTTTGGTTAACTTGATAAAATCATTGTTGCTTTGTACCACATTTGTATCGTAGAGTTAAGAAAAAGTGGTCTTGTTTTGTGCTTGTTGCTTTAACTTGACGTTTAGGCATCTTGTTTTCATGGTGAATATATTATCAAAGTTGTCCCTTGTTTTTATTAAAAACAAGCTTTCAAATTTCATGAAAAAGGAAATTTCAGACATTCGTATCTCAATAACACTGTGCCCCTTTTGACTACTCCCTGCATACCAAGATATATAATAATTAATATACATGTATAAATTTGATGGGTTTTAAAAATTAAGTAATCAACTTTTAAATAATTTTTTTTGGTGCATTATTTGTTCAAAGCAGGTCATATTTTTCAAACAACTATAGTTGTCTGTCGAAGATAACTGTAACAGATGCTCAATCAAATACAATTCACAAACTTCAATGAAAATCAGTGGAACATTACACATTTCTTTAACCCAGTGTTTATGTATAAAATATATTAACACAATTCTGTGAGAAATGCTGATGAATGATTACAATTTTTCTGTGATAAAGAAATGTTACTTTATTACAATATTAACATTAAAATATTAACATTAAAAATATTAACATCGCCGCTGTACGACATGTATAGAGCGCAAAAGGTGTATGTGTGATTGTTCATGAGATGATCAACCACTAAGTGGGGCGATGTGTGGCCAAGCTACGCCTACCCTGCGAAGCATAGGAGGCAAAGCCTTGTTTAATATTTTGGGCATTTGCAGGTTTTGAAGTGCCTTTGGGGAATAATTGTGTTGAATTAATCGAATGATGATTGTCCTATTTAACTCAATGTCTAAATACAGGTTTTCCCGGCCATTTTAAGATATTTTTCTTTCAAATTGACCAACTCTATCATTCAATGTCCCCACGAAAAATTTCACATGCTTTTAACAAAATCAATTTAGTCATTTACCGTTCAATTTCAAAGTTTGGTCACCCTCTTTAGTCACCGGGTCAAGAATATTCGTCATTACAGATCAAGTTCGTCTTAGCTGTTGCCGAGTGGCAGTGTTCAGAGATCTAATTCGTCTTATATAAATCAATTAGACAAATTGGATTTCTGAATAACAAGGTTTGGCGTAGACGAGACGAAATCGAATACTCCAGTACGAAAACGTGTGCTCATTGTTTGAATTTGCTTGAACTGAATTTGAAATTGTCCGACAAAAGACGAAATTAAACATTGGAAGTGCACTAAATTGATGTTGATGGACGAATTTGAATATTAGAAATGGTGAATTCGAATGATAAACGTTTTAAAATAGCCGGGAAAACCTATACTTTGAACTCCCACTCCCACTATATTTATACATGTCTGTGTTGTGGTTTTGTACAATTTATGTATGTGTAAACCTCATGTGTTTCACGCAGTCACTTCTAAAATTGTTTGTATTTTCAAAACATGATTTTTTTTTCACGTTAAAAAACTCAGTGCACATTACATTATCAAGCTGCGTTGCTTGCCTCAAAGTTTATGTACAATTTAGGTACTTGTGATGAGTGTTTCCATTGCAGTTGTTGAGTGTTGTACCGGTACATAGCGGAGTCCCATTTTCACAGCACACATGCAGCAAATTCCTACATTACAATTGAGCATGTTGGGATGTGAACCAGAAACCTTTCATTTGGAAGTGCAGCATTCACTTCCCTGTGCTGCCTTTTGACTATGATTGGGAGGTTCACACTCCATTTGCACCCGCTGTGCCTTTAAGCAGGCTGTTCAGCAGCACATGTGTCTTAAGTGATACTAAACACTGAACACGGTGGAAGTGAACCACAGACCTCTCATATGCACGTTCAGTGTCTTACCTTCATAGTGCTAAATGCCATTGGGTACTGATCAATATTTTGTTTTGCACTGATCACCATTGCACCAGAGACAACTCATTCACAAATCAAACGTCATGATATCTCAGCTACACGTACATCATTCTGGATGAAATGTCAGAAAGTGATAGTTTCACTGCACTGTCATTGACATTAAATTGTTTTAAAGAATATGGGATACAATAAACTCTTGAATACCACATCCTAATTAAAATCTCTCATGAAATCAACTTTTAACTGAAATGAAGTGCTTTTCTTAAGAGCCTCTGCAAAGTAAGTGCTTATCCAGACATCTTGGGGCTCCAGATTATACAGGCATGAGATATTTTTTTAAAAAGTTTTGTTTGAAGGCAGACTTTTTGAATCTGAGAGAAAGACATTGTCAGTAGAGAAAGAAATGCGCCTTTCAGACCTATTATCCAATTTTTAGAGGTTTTTTTAAATGAACAATCTCATCACTGAGTATATTAATATGTGAAGTATTCTCCTTTAGAATACGATAACAATTTTCAATGTAGATGCTGATAACACTGCAAAAACCTTCTCCTTACAAATCTTCTTTATTCTAACTATCATTATTGTATCTTTGGTTTACAGCGGAGAACTCAATGGCCCTCTCTGCTGCCAGCATGGAGAGCCTTGCTCTGAGTGAAGACGCAGATTTCAACAGTCCCAAACGACGGCCTGGATTCATCCCCTATCGGAACTCGGTCTTGACGTGGCTGCTGAAGGACAGTTTGGGAGGCAACTCCAGGACCATCATGATTGCAAGTGAGAATGGGCCACCTTCTGGGGTTATTTTCATTCTTTCTGGTAAAAAACCCAAGGATTTTTCAATAACAAACAAGCCAGCGCATTAGCTCAGAAACATGAAGAATGTTAGGAGAAGAAGATGAAGAAATATTCAGTTTTAGAGGTGGGAGGAAAACCCCCGGAAAATTATGCGAAGAAAAAAGCCAGGGAATCAGTCTGGGACTGAAAGCCCAATCCACATGTTGCCTGGGTGGGACGGAACCTGGGTCTCGGAGGTGGCAGGCGAGGAAATGACCACTATGCCAAATAGTTATTGCAGCACTTGTGCTGATAGTGGTGGTGATATTGATGATGGATTGGTGATTACGGAGTTAATGATTATTATGATGAAGGTGAAGTGGTGAAGATGGTGAAGACATCAAAAGTGGCTGTGGTGATTACAATAGTGACTACAGTACTGGCTGTGGTGAGAGTGGTGATGTTATGACAAAGATGATGCTAAAAATGATCATGGGGGTGATAATGATGGCGACGGTGATAATGCTGATAACAATGATGGTGATTGAAGATGGTGATGTAAGCATGAGTGTGGGTAGGGGTATGGGTGCAATGATGATGAAGCTGGTGATGATGATTATTATCATGATTATGGTGATTAATGATGGTGATGATAGTATGATTGTGGATAATAGTGATGATGGTGATCATTGTGGTGAAAATGGTGGTGATAATGATGGTGATGGTGATAATGATGTTACTGGTGATGAGGAGGTTGCTGAAAGGTGCGAATTTAGTATGGAGACAAAATTTTAATGGTTCTCATATTCCTCTCTATGTTTTATTACAGCAATATCTCCATCCAGCACCTACTTCAATGAAACGATGAGTACTCTTCGCTATGCTAGACGTGCCAAGAGGATCATTAACCAACCATTGATAAATGAGGTCAGGGTTGTATTTATGAAGATCGTTTGGTTTCGGGCTCTGGCTGAAACCATGAACCTTGGGTTGCATCCCATGAGACTTGTCTTGAACCACGTGATCCCTGGGTTGAACCCCATGATCCCTTGGGTTGAACCCCGTGATCTCTTGGGTTGAACCCCATGATCTCTTGGGTTGAATCCCATGATCTCTTGGGTTGAATCCCATGATCTCTTGGGTTGAACCCCGTGATCTCTTGGGTTGAACCCCGTGATCTCTTGGGTTAAACCCCATGATCCCTTGGGTTGAACCCCATGATCCCTTGGGTTGAACCCCATGATCTCTTGGGTTGAACCCTGTGATCCCTTGGGTTGAACCCCATGATCTATTGGGTTGAACCCCATGATCCCTTGGGTTGAACCCCATGATCTTTTGGGTTGAACCCTGTGATCCCTTGGGTTGAACCCCGTGATCCCTTGGGTTGAACCCCATGATCCCTTGGGTTTAACCCCATGAGCCTTTGGGTTGAACCCCATGATCCCTTGGGTTGAACCCCGTGATCCCTTGGGTTGAACCCCGTGATCCCTTGGGTTGAACCCCGTGATCCCTTGGGTTGAACCCCATGATCTCTTGGGTTGAACCCCATGATCCCTTGGGTTGAACCCCATGATCCCTTGGGTTGAACCCCATGATCTCTTGGGTTGAACCCCATGATCCCTTGGGTTGAACCCCATGATCTTTTGGGTTGAACCCTGTGATCCCTTGGGTTGAACCCCGTGATCCCTTGGGTTGAACCCCATGATCCCTTGGGTTGAACCCCATGATCCCTTGGGTTGAACCCCGTGATCCCTTGGGTTGAACCCCGTGATCCCTTGGGTTGAACCCCGTGATTCCTTGGGTTGAACCCCGTGATCCCTTGGGTTGTACCCCGTGATCTCTTGGGTTGAACCCTGTGATCCCTTGCGTTGAACCCTATGATCTCTTGGGTTGAACCCTGTGATCCCTTGGGTTGAACCCCGTGATCTCTTGGGTTGAGTCGCATGATCCCTTGGGTTGAAACCCATGAGCCTCGGGTTGCACCCCTCGAGCCTTGGTTTGCATCCCATGAAACTCTGATTGCACCCCATGAGCCTTGGTCTCATCTGATGAGCCTTGGGTTGCATCCCATGAGACTTGTTTGGAACCCCATGATCCCTTGGGTTGAACCCCATGATCCCTTGGGTTGAACCCCATGATCCCTTGGAGTGAACCCCCCGAGCCTTGGTTGGCATCCCATGATCCTCTGATTGCACCCAAAGCCTTGGTCACATCCGATGAGCCTTGGGTTGCACCCCATGAGCCTTGGGTTGCACCCCATGAGCCTTTGGTTACACCTCATGAGCCTTGAGATGCACCCATTATGAGCCTTGGGTTACACCCTATGGACCTCCAGTTGTACCCCTTGAGCCTTTTTGCTCCATCCTATGATCCTTGGGTTGCATTCTTAAGCCTTGGCGCCCACTGAGAAAAGTCCTTCATGTCAATGAGAAATTGGTTTAAGGGAATGTACAACATTTGCTTTTGCTGCAATTTTCAGAAATAAATGGATTTGGAGGATTAGTATGTTATAGCAAGTATTGTTAAATTGACTTGCTTCACGTTTTGGGTTCGGAGATGCTGGGAAATCCAAGAAAGCCAACCATGTTCTTGCAGTCTGGTTCCCTGGCCCCACTTAAGATGAAACGGAGCAATTTATAGACTTTGGGGAATTGTACGGTCAGAGAACCAGTCTAGCAGGCTTGTGGGTAACCCCTTCACACAGGTGTCTAATCAATTGCAAAGAAAATGCGGAATAACTAAATGTGAAAAATTAGGAGCAGTCTTTAAAAAAAAACAGTTTTCTCCAACGCTGGTCGGCCGACCAGCGTTGGAAAGACACAAGTTTTCTTGAAAATGTCAGCACACCAGGAGCCACGCTTTTACAGGATACTTAAGCCTGTCATTCCTAACAATCGAGTAAGATATTTCGTGATAATTTGATCATTTTGTTTTTTGATGTTTGCAAATGTTGTATCTTCCCTTTAATATATAGTTACTTGTTTCTATCATTTGATAGGATCCTAATGTGAGACTGATCCGAGAGTTACGGGCAGAGATCAATCGTCTGAAGACGTTGCTCAATTCAGCCAGTCTTGTAAGTCAACCAACTTATTTTGTGCTACCTTTTTTATGGGGGGGGGGAATTAATTTGCCTGGGATTTAGGGTGGCAAAGTACATCCATATACTCTTTTGGCAAGATGTCGTGTATATTTACCCATTTGAAATACACACACACATTGGCCTTGGCTGTTGATTTTGTCATAGAGTGTTGAAAAAAAATAAAAAGAATGAATACTGGTACATGTACTTGCCAATTAAAATGCACCTGCCGGTACATGTATATTGCAAACTGATTTTGTATGGAAATTGTTTTTTGCAGGTCCTGATACCAATTATCATGGCTTAAAGCTTAAGCTTAGAGCTTGTGTTAAAATGATTAGAAGTCATTCTTTATTCTTTATAAGTAGATTTCTCTGTGAAAAATTGTACCAATGTTTAAAAACTACACACCCACTAAGTAGAAAAAGTGGAAGAGACCCATTGATACTCTTATCTTGAACCATGCAGGGGAGCTCGGCCTAGGGCATAGTTAGTCCTTGGGTCTACTAAAAAATAACGAGCAGGGCACTTGCCCCATTTAGTGCAGATCTGAGTGCATTTCTTGCAGTGTTGTAGTCGAGTCTCTAGTTCACTAGTCCACAGCTCTGTTCACAAGTAAAGCACAAGTCCTGTCACAAGTAAGAGTAGATGAACAATAACAAAGACATGCCTTTGTTGTAGTTCATTTCAACAGATTGTGACTTGGGAGTGAATGGTTTTGTGAGGACTTGTGAGGATTTGTAGTGGACTTGACTTACAACACTGATTACCGGTACCAATACCAATTACCGGTCACAAAATGGTTGTTGATTTATTCTCAGTCAAGCTCCCAAGCTTCCTTGGTCCAAGACGCGACGATCAGTAAGATGCTCGCCGAGAACGAGCAGAAAGTGGACCAGCTGACAGAGGCCTGGGTAGACAAGTGGAGAGAGGCGGCCAGAATTATGCAGGCGAGTGGAGTTGGTATAAAATTTAGATTAAGGAGATCAACAGATTAATAACAATTATTTGGGCCAGTGGTTATCTGCGACGAGGAACATATCTGCTAATGGAACATTCCATCTGTTACCGAATGAAATTATTCTTCCCATTGCACAAATGTGAAACATTTGGTTTAAACACCTGAATAAATCCTCATCATCAAAAGTAAGATCATGGAACTTCCGTTGAATGGAACTTTTATTTTTGCCTGTGTGTTGGAACGAATAATTAAATGACACTTGATCAACGACCCACCAATCAAATGACGGGGATTTATTTAAGCGTTGTATGATAAATATTTCACTCGATCTTTGAATGTATTATACAGCGTCTGAATAAATCCCCGTCATCTGATTGGACGGTCGTTGATCACGTGTCACTGAATTATTTGTCCCAACGACAAAAATAGAACTTTCATTCCACAGCAAATGAAAGTTCCATTGCACGGTCACACTTTTGGCGGCTCGATCTGACCAATCAGATGACGCGCATTTGTTGTATAAAACAAATGATGAGTGTTTCACATTCGTGCAATGATAAGAATAATTTCATGAGGTGACATATGGAATGTTCCATTCCACGAGGCGGAATGGAACATTCCATCTGTCACGTCATGAAAATATTCTTACCATTGCACTGACAAACATTCGTTATTTGTATAAAATTCCATTTGTTATCAAAAGTCCATTTTTTACCTTTTTTTGAAGTTCCTAAATGACAAAGAATGGTAAATTTACAAGTGAAAGTGTGGACATTTGTGACCCACTCTGCAAAAATGAGTCTGATGTCGCATAGCTTGAATTCCAGCTTTCACCACTTTTAAATGGAAACAGTGAAAATTTGCTCAAAATTTGGATTTTTTGTTTTTGTTTTATTTTGGTTGTTTGATAGTTTTAGTTCAGATATCTTACACAGAAATTTAAATATTGTAAGAAAAAGACTAACAAATTTATGATTTTTGGTGATTTTCTTGGTTAGTTACAGTGTATTTGTAATTTTTAAACCCTTTTTTCTTCATTGAGACATTTCTTGCTTCGCAAAAACTTGACAGAATTAAAAAAGTCACAACAGTGCAACCAAACGCCCTAGAGAGGCCCATGATATACCAAATGAAAGCTTATTTCATTCCCATTTTATTAATGTAGTTAACTCAAAATGTCAGTTTTGCCACAACAGACTCATTTTTGTGGAGCGGGTCACATTTGTTGTTGAGTCTCTTGAGGTTTCAAGATTTTGTTTGATCCAGTAAGGTTTTTTAGCCAAAAATTGCTGAAGGAATTTGTTTTAATATTGTTTACATTTTTTTTCTTCTTCAGGAGTGCAATGTGGGCATCCGGAGGGAAAGCATGGGCGTGATAGTGGAGTCAGAACTGCCTCATCTGATTGGAATAGACGATGACTTACTCAGCACTGGTATCATACTCTATCACCTCATGGTACGTTGCATTAAGTTGCCTTTAAAGGGGCGGGGCCTGATTAACAAAGGGGTGGTTTGGAATTTAAGGGATTATGGCTCTTTCAGAGATAGATTTTGTTGATCTTGTTAGCAACTGTACTACATTGTATTACTTTGTGTTTACTCACAAAGGGGTCACCCATAATTACCAACATTCTCAAAAGCGTACAAAATGTGCGCTCGAGGGAGGGGTTTATAACCCATTTTTGCTTTTGAAATTTTGTCAATATATCAATATTTTCGGTTCAGTGTTTTGTTTTGTAATGGGATTTCAGAAGATCATTCATGAAAACCCCGATACCTCAACTTGGCAAAATCCCGACCAGCTCGCGATTCATGCGTGCAGCCATATTTGTCATTCAGCTTCGCTACGCGCAGATGACAAACATACGCGATATAGACTTTTTCAGCCTCCACTTTTGTAGCGATGAATTGATGTATGCGTGTGAGTACGGCAAACACCTTGTGTGCCTAGCCTACGACACAAACATTCCATAACTATTGGCAGCGCTATGCATGAACTGTTCTGGGATATCTTTCAAAACCAGCATTTTTGACAGTACTCTTTCAAGGGGGGGGGGGGCTTCTACCAAAACAAACAAGTTTTGTATGCTTTTGAAAATGTTGAAAATTATGGATGACCCCTAAAGAATAAAAAAAAAAAAGAGAGTGATTGGTGGTTTCGGGCAACTTCTTGTTACTTTTTCTGCACTCCTCTTTTTGTGAATTTTTGTCCCCACATCGCACTCTTTGCACTGTATTCAGTACGATAATCTTCGGGAGCTATTCACTTCCTAAGAGGGATATTCTTTATGGAAGAAGAAGAAGAAGAAGAAAAAACGAAAAAGCGGTACTTGTATTCAATAGGCCATAACTCAATAAATACTTACCTGTAAGGAAACATTTATTCGGTGTTGAAATATACTCTCTAAGCGTGTATCGATAGGGGAGGCAGGTTGGCGTAACGGTACTTTCCTCGCCTTCCACCGCTGTGACCCGGGTTCGAATCCTGCCTGGGCCAATATGTGGATTGGGTTTTCAGTCCCTACCTGATTCCGTGGGTTTTCCTCAGAATACTCTTCTGGGCTTTTCCTCCCACCTCTAAAACTGTACTTTCTTCACATTGTCTTCTTTTTACTCGGCCCCATGGGAGATCAGTGGATTCCACTGAATGGGCTACCCAGTTAAAATAAGAAATAAATAAAAATAAAATAAAAATCGATATATTTGCGATGTATTTTTTAAAAGCTGTGAAAAAGAGTGTGCTTTGAGGGTTCTTTTTTTTTTTAACACCCTGTACTGTATGACTAAAGTAACTACATTTTTTTTATGTCAGCAAGTCATGTTTCATGTCACCCATGGTATAATTTACCGACATGTTTGAAATCAAAAACATTTAAAAACAGAAAGCTAAAAAAAATGTTGTGTCTTTTGTACAGGAGGGGCAAACCACCATTGGAAGGGAAGATTCAGAAACTGAGCAGGACATTGGTAAGTTTTTTTTTGGGGGGGGGTCCTGTTTCAGCTTTTTGTCCATATTTGTAAAAAAAATAATCTTGAAGCAGCCAAGTTTGTGAAAGGATCCACAACTGATGAGACGTTAGCAACATGGTGTAAGCATGCTAGTTGCTTTTCAGTAGGGCTGTGCATCAGAACCGGGTACCCGACAGCTAATGTCAGGAACCGGTTCCAGATTATGGGATTGGGTACCGGTAATCAACTTTACAAATTACTTAGTTACTGCTCAGACAATGAAAAAGAAGGGTTTTGAAAGCCATTTTCAAATGAAAACCTGGCTATGCTGAAAATCAAAACAGATGTCACGTTTATGTGCATTTTAACATGTCACAGGTGACGCTCGCGAAAGTTTCAGTTTACACCGTAAACCTAGCCCTTCAGACAACTTCCAGGATTGAATTTAGGGGTTGGCTTTCTTTTACGGGTACCTAGGTACCCTAGCCCAGGTTGGACTCCGTTGTGTACACGCAACGGAGTCCAGGGTATGAATCTCTCCTGCCATAGCGAAAAAAATTATAACACATTTTTTGCATATTTTTACCTGACGAAGGAAGCTGAAATTTTGCTTACATATTCCTTGTGTCCAGAATTGTGCCTGCGCTAGGTTAAGAAAAGGCAAATATGTCCACGGGCGGCGTGTTTACTGAAAATAAACCGCAATTCCACGCTTTTGTTGAAAACATGTTCAGTACGAACGGCCCCGTGTGAAGATTACGCGCGTGTACGTCTTCACGCGGAGAGTTGGAACTGAAAATGTTTTTCAGTAGAACTTGCGGTTTATTTTCGGTAAACACACCGCCCACGGACATATTTGCCTTTTCTAAACCCAGCGCAGGCACAATTCTGGACATAAGGAATTTGTAAGCGAAATTTCAGCTTCCTCCGTCAGGTAAAAATATGAAAAAAAATGTGTTAAAATTTTTTTCGCTATGGTGGTGGAATTTTTACCCTGGACGTCATTCACAATGCAACGAAGACGTCGTCCAACCTGGGCTACCAGGTACCCATGGTTTACTTCAATAGGTTCCCATACTACCCGTAAATGCACACCACTAATTTTCAGTTTAGTTTGTGGATGAATAAAAAAAAAACATTGCATTGAATTGAATTGAACATGTCTGACCAACTTGTTTTTGCTGGACGTTTAATATACATTTGGCTTGTGTTACCAGGCAACTTCAGGTAATTTCTCGTTTGTGATGCATCATTTGATTGCCAATGGTTTACTGTTTAACCCACGAGCACCTGTCCTGTACTACATTGTATTACATTGTGTTTATTCACTGACAAATCCGTAAAACCGTAGAGTGCTCGGGCGGTTTCAAGCGCTACAGTGGCTAATGGGTTGATTAGTTTCTTTTGTAATCAATCAGTCGCACAATTGTTTAGTGAGGCTGTTTTGTTTGCTGTCTTCTGTCAAAATTATTAGTCATTGTTCAAGGCAACTTACCGGTATAAGTGGCTACACATGATGATTACCCCCTTAACTGTAATTTCTTCACATTGTCTTCTCTTTACTGGGCCCCATTGGAGACCAGTGGATTCCACTGAATGGGCTACCCAGTTAAAATAAGAAATAATAATAAAAAAGGTTTTGTTAATTTCCAATCTGATTACAAAACTGTAATTGAAAAAGTGATGCCTGCCGTTTTACAACTTACATCTTAGGAGATAACTCCACAAGACACCCCCAGTTGAATATATCACTGTATAGGATGGGTTAATAGTTGCTCCACCCTTACTGTTTTGGGGTTACATTTCCTTTTTTTCTTTAAAGTAGTTTATTTTACAATGAGACATGTTTGGTAAAGGAATAATTATAAGGTAAGTTGTTGCGATAGCACCATGTGGCAAGATCTCCTTTGTGAGTATGTGTGGTTCTGAAAAAGAACACATACTCACAAAAGAGATTTTGTCACATGGTGCTACCACAACAACTTACCTTATTATTGCCCTTCACCATGCAAACCTTCAAATCTCAAAGGAATAATTATCTAGTAAATGTCAAAGTATTTTCTTTTTGTTGTGTTAGAACTAAAGAAGCGACCCAAAATCAAAACCTTTTCAGAGGTTTGCAGGAATCCGAAAAAGAGAAAAAGGGTTTTCATTTATAATAAATCATATCAATTGAATATTTATAAGAACAAAAAAAATTAGAAATTTCAGAAGAGCATGTGGAGAGCAGCTTTTGTTACAGGAGAATCGCATTACAAAAAAAGCTGACAAGGCATAAAAGAGCGTGAGTGAGATCCACAGCGCGTCTTACAGATATAGTCCATCATTTGTAATTTGTGCATTTTGTTCATTTGAAGCAATAAAAGTGTTCAAAATCTAATGAAAGATACTGAACAACTAACCTGATGAAGTTTCAGCTCAGCTTCAGCTGTATATTCCGAGAAAAACAGTATTCTAGGATCTCAATTTCAAATCAAAAGTTGCCGAATCATGTTTTGAATTGGGCCTGAATTCAGTGTCCGAGACACGTTCTCACTGAGTTGATTGCAGCTACGCGATGTCGCGCACTGATCCGATGAATTATAGCAACCGCGTGTGCGTCGTGCCAATGCTTGCGCGCGCTTTGCCGAAGAACAAAAAAATGAACTACTAATTTAAATTTTCCTATGGTGCGTCTTAAGATGCACCGTTGGAAAGGCCTTCTTTCGTTGATTACTTCAAAACGACAGCTTGCCAGAAAGAATAATTTCACAGGGAGTTTAGTCCACTTACTATCTTTCAACCAAGTATGTTTTTCAACAATAATTACGCCATTTACTTTTCGGATGGCTGCAAATGATGGACTATAGCTTTAAATTAAATAAGTTAAGCTGTTTGTAAACAGGTGTATTCAGTAGCTGCCACTCACAGATTTAATTGACTTGACCCAAATCACACTGTTAAACGTGTGGCATTGAGTTCGAAGCCAGTGTGACAAAGTCCATTTTTTCTCAATTATTTCTTTGATTATGGTGTACATGTATGTAGTCATCCACATGATAAAGTGAACGGCACTGTTACCTGAACATGTGTCAGATTTCATCTAAGCAAGTGAAGACTTTGAAGGTAAATACAACGTATACATTGTATACAGTTTACTCGATAGATACAGTTTCCTGTCACTGAAAGAAATATAGGTGAAGACCGTGCTTCTAAAGCCCGGTTTATTCTCGGCAAGAAAGTGAATGCGATGCGAATTTGACGTCAGGGGAGCATTCACTGCGAAATTTGCCGAAGTTGAAATGTGTTCAACTTTTGCGAATTCGCAGCGCGAAAACCTGTCCTGACGTCACAAATTCGTGTTCGCGTTCGCTTTCGCGCCGAGTATGAACCGGGCTTTATGAATGCTGTTCAAAGTAAATAGATTACTAACATCCTGAATTTAATTGATTCTGTGTAAAATAAAACTGAATTGCAGGTTGATTATTAAACATATATTTTTTAATGTGGGCTCATCTGTTTAAATGCTTGTGAAAATGTTTAAATCAATTCTGATTTCTTTCATGGGGGTGATGAATTGTTTACACATGTAAATGTCATATCCATACTGTAAGTGTAAGTACAAAGTACACCTTGCAAACGCAAAATGAACCTTTGGAACTACCGGTACATGTACATGTATGTGATGCCAAAATCAAGAAAAAAAAAAGATGCAAAGAATTCAGGGCAATAGGTTAGGTTTGGTTTGGAGTACTGTAATTCACAAGATAGCGCAGGATGATTGAAATGAAATCCCTGTTTATTTGAGGTTGGTTTCTATGAGAAGGATTGTGAGTGGGTTCATTTGTCAACACATTGTGGTGTCAGATTCAACCCTGCCAAGTTGTACAAAGAAAAATTACTGCCGCGGATTTGTAACAGATACGGATCACATTTGTCTCCCTCCTCACCAGTTCCTTGGGAATCGGAATGATTAAGTGGATCGACACAATCTGGAGCTTATTATTCGTTTCTGTTGTTTGCGCATGTTAATCATCAACTGATAGCTATTTTGTTGTACCAATAGTATATCCCAGCCCGGAATTTTGGTACATGTACATGTACATTGACACTGTAGTCGCTGTGTTTGTAGGGAGGAACTGATTGGAAATGTCATCTAGAGACTCAGTTTGCATGTCTGATGTAATGTTAAGCGGTCTACATACACTTCCGTGTATTTGAGCATGTGCGAATTGAACCATTGTCGCAGTCTTGAGTGCGACTCGCTGTTTCCCAGTGCGCTTGTTGCTTAGCTAGAGAGGATGTTAATGACTCTAATGAACACCTGTTTGGGAGAATTGATATCGATTTGAGGAAGTTGGCGTTATTCATCATTTTGCCACACATTGATTACTTCGGCCGTCTGGTTGCCACGGAGAGTGTACACGGTGCGTTAGCCGTTAATATTGCTGAACATGCAGTGTCGCTAGCAGTGAAGCTACATTATGAAAGACGATTATGCACAGTACTTGTGTATGTGATGGATATTTGCCACTCTTTGTACCTGTACATCGATATTATGATGGACTGCACAGCTTTTCGTCTTGGCAGTTTAGATCTGTGAGTACTATTGAGGATTCATTTTCAACAGCAGAAACCTTAGATATGCTTTGGACTCTCAGTTAATTGTGCTTCCCCCTGCCAACTGAATGTGTATACGTACGTATTTCTTTCAGACTATACATGTAAATCGTCTTATTGCAGAGTTGTACCTCTAGAATACTGCTGATTTTGAATTTCTAACTAACTTATATGTATGTGAGTCATTCCACCGGGTTGACCACAGTGCATGTTACATCCATATATTTGGTTGTATTATTAAAAGTATCAATGCATTCTAAACAATTGCTCAACATAATATTTGTCTCAGGGTGTTTCAATACTTGAGAAAGTTCGAAAACATTTGAATGTACTTTGAAAAAAAATATGAGCATAAATGTATTATTCGGACATAACATTGACATCGTGTCATTGTTACATCCAAATATTCTTTTTTTGCCGTTTTTTTTTACACATATGTAAAATATTACCCAAACTGACATTGCATATTTAACGGGACACCTAATGCACCAAGAAAATTGTTTTGGTATAGTGAGGGTTCAAATGTAGCAGAAACGATACCTTAATGTGGATGTACCAGTGTCCAAATCACTCACTGGAAGTGTGACATTTGGGGTTGACACGGTGTCAATGTTACGTCCACAACCAAGCTATCATTTCTGCTCTATTTGATACCCGACTACCGTAACAAAAGCTTTTCTACATGTAGGTGCATTGCATGTAGTGTAATAATTACATAAAGGGAATTTGGGTCAAGTTTTACAGAAATTAAAAAAACATTGGTACAAATTTAATATTTGGATGTACCGTACATGTAACATTGACTCTGTGTCAGTGTTACACGTCTGAATGACATTTTTGCCCATATCTTTGGCAAAATACATTCAAATGATTTAAAACTTTCTGCAGTAGTGGAACACCCAACAACCAATATTATGTAGAGCAACTGTACCGTAGTGACCGGTACATGTAGATTTACTCTTCCTCCAAATTTGGTCTCTCTGGATATTATCTTTCTTTGATGTTTTTGTAATATACAAGTGCAGTACAACCTGAAGATCAAGGCTTGCATATAAATATGTACACATTTTGCACGTGATTGTTCAACGACCATTACACTACATGTAGTTGTACAAAGAGACATTATGGCTACAGCAAACAGTACATACATGCAGCTGTGGCTCAATAGTCAAGAGAATGTAAATTAGTCATTAACTTTAATTGATTCCCCTCTTTGCATAATTAATGAGGACAGAGACATTGTATATAGTGACCATTATTAATGATGTGGTTCACTTAACGTAATTGGTTTGCATTCAAGTCAGACTGACTGCAAAATTTCCATTTTAAAAAGCGTGCATTAGCAATAATCCACTAATTACCGGTATTTCATTACTTTACCAATTTTGTGTGTGACTGATATATCATTTTTGTTGTTGTCAGGCGGAGTTAAAAATATATAAGTAATTTCTCGTCTGGCCTTTTTGAAAAAAGGAAGGAGGAAGGTGTTTATTTGTTCTTCTTTTTCCCCCAAGATGGTAGATTTTTCAAGATGGCAGATAGATTCTTCAATTTCCTCGACTATTTTGCTGATACAAAATTGTGTCCAAACATTTGCCAAAGGAGCCATAACTCTTTCTGTATAGCTACAATTTTGTTGGAAACAAATAAAAAGACAATATATTGAGAATATATGTGCAAAATATATTGCAAATGTATGAATTAAAAAAAAAAGGAGGCCGCGGCTTGGCAAAAAGGAAGCGAGCGGGGACCAGAAACTGGTTTATTTGTTTACATTGCATATTATGCCATTTATCATTCCTTTATTACTAAACATTGTTCTTTTTGTACTGGGTAACATAATCACAAACAATAAAAACAGTTTGGATCAGGTATTTTCCGTTAATGGCAATAAGACCGCCAAATTGATTCCCAGGGGCCAATTTCAAAGAACTGCTGTGTACACAGATTGTCTAAGTGCATGGTGGGCGTAGTACATTTTTTTATGCAGTGGATCATATCACATACATATACATGTATACATGTGTGGATCATGATATATTTTACAAAATGTTGCAAAACGATTATGTGAATGGGAAATTGGCGTCAAACCTGTTTCTGTTGGGTTTTAAAATTTTTACCTGTTTTTTTTCCATGCACCTCAGTAAATTCCGAAGCATGCCACACATTCTGAAAAATGGCTTAAATGAGATTTTGAGATTTACATTAAATGCTGGTTATACATGTACATGTACATCGAAACATCTTGTTAGCGAACGCAAAACATTGCATTACAAAATGCACCGATTGCAATACCTGCTACATGTGTACCGGACTCATACCAGCTACCGGTAGCTGACCCCGGGAAGCTCAAGTTTCATGTGCTTACTAGTATAAGAGGTGTCTCTAGTCATGCTAGTAAGCAGGAGGTTGTGGTCAAGTCCCACCTGTGTAAAACTTGTGGGGCTCTGATGGAACAACACTTCAGGACTTTTCACACTTTTATCTTGTCTCACCTCGCCATCATCATCAGGCTGTATTGCAGGCGACCACATTTTGAAAAACCGAATTAAAAAAGCCAAAATAAAATTATGGAAACAAATCAATGAAAAACATAAATGTCTCGCCTACCCATGTTGAAATCAACACGAATCCACCAGATCCCATTGAACATGGTAGACAAGGCATACCATTTACACTCAGATTTTAGCCGTGTAGAGCACCAGGACCTTTTAGAAGCAGTGTTGGATTCTTGCTAGTGTGAAACAGGTTTCGAAAGCTCTGTTTTGGACCCGGATCATCGAGATTTTGGATAGTGTGCAAGGCCGTATAGATACAGCGCTTCAAAAAGTGAAAGGCAACACCCAGTGTAAAATAAGTTTCATTGCCGATGTAATTTTGTAGACATTAAGTCCTATTCTTACAATGTTCTTTTCATAACTGTTCTTGTAGTTCTCTGGGGGCCAGGGATTGAGTGCCAGCACGCCGTGATTGTCAACCATCTTGGCCGAGTCACCTTACATCCTGTCAACCAATCGGCTTGCGCTGTCAATGGCAACGATATCCACGAACCAACCCCACTCAGCCAAGGTATGGAATGAAACGATAGACCTTGTGCATAGCAGCCATCTTAAAGGGCAGCTTTTGTTTATTTTAATTCAGTAATGACAATTTATGCACAAAAAGGTTCACTCATTCATATCCCAACAAAACAAAGGCATTGCCCTCTAAGATGGCTGCTACACATAAGGTCTATGGGCTCCGTGCGTCGACAAAGAGGGCGCCCTTTTACCTAGCAACGACGTCCCATGGGCGGGACATTTTGCTGGTTGACGCACTTGTGTGTGACGCACGTATGTACACCAGGGGATTTGTACTATGTAGGCCTACACGCAGTGGCCGCGCTTCGCGGCAAATGAATTACAGTCGGGCAAGATGGCGTCGGTCGGTCACCCCCAACTGTTCCTTCTTTGCCGGTGAGGGGGTACTTGTGAACGGAGCGGATAGGCCCTTTTTTAAGGAAAGGATGCAATTTTTTGGGTGCCAACAGTAAAAATGTCATGTTTATGGGGAAGCAATTTAGCATTTTTACTTCGGTCCCAAAATTAAAATTTGTAAAAATGAAATGTTTTATACGATGTCACTTTCCATCACTAATCTTGGATTCCTGTCATTGTCTGTGTTCCTAAAGTTGATCGCGAAAGCCCCCTCAAAATTATTGCCTTTTTCATGCCTGAGTAAAGGCCATGTATGTGGATTTCATACATTTTACTCTTCTATTGAAGAAAACTATAAATTTGTGGGGAAAAAAATGATTCTGTACTCATTCAAAAATATTTCCATCATGGTCTGTGCATGAAGATAGATGCACGTTAATATTATTGAAATGGGAGTGGGATACTTCCATTTCAAAACTTAATGTATTTTTTTTCGTTTTCTCTTGCAGGCCATTGAAAAAATAATTCAAAATGTCAAAGTAAAGCTCATCACCTAATTTCAGAAATTGTTGTAATGGTTGGGGAGATTTTAGTTTCATTTTCTGAGGGAGGCTGAGGGATATTGGGCTATACAGTGTACACTGCCGTCCCCCCTTTAAACAGTCTCATAAAGTCCAGTAATATTGTAACAGAAATGTATGAAAAGTAAATATTGGCGCTGTGCCAGTAAACCATGACTCATCCATTAACTCTTTGTTTAAATACTGCCATGCAGTCGATACATCAGCTGAAAATGGCACAAACCAATATGTTGGCTTAAAAAATTGCGCATCTGGTTATTAAGACAATTAGTTCTGCAGACGAAGCTTAACATTTACATTTTTTGTGTGTGGAATTACAATCAAGGTTTTTTGAGATTTTCATATGTTGTAAGTGGATGCAGGCAATAGAATAAAGCTGGACAACTACCGGCATATTATTCCTCTATAGATTTATCATTCTGCTCCTTTTTGCTTGCTTGAAACTCAAGACAAATGACCCTTCAAGTAAGAACCCTCACCAACCAAAGATAAGAGAATATTTACACAGACTCCTACCACCAATCATCATGCCTTACAAATATTGACACGTCAGACAACAGAGCAAGATTAATTACGTCCCATTCTATTTGTATCAAGTGCCATTGTATACAAGCCTCTACATGTACATGAACATGTTACTTTCTATAATAATACCCACTTATTCAGCATTTACCGACTTGCTGATTTTCACATACCCATTTCAAAACTCACCATTTAAAAATCTCACCTCTAGTTCTTCACCCGACAGATTATTTTTTTTGGAAAATCTTTTTAACCAAAAGAATTCTGAAAAACCCATTGTTTTGGTATTCTCAAATCCAAGTCTCATGTGCAAAAAGAAAAACAGTTTTATGCAAAATTCATAAATTCCGGTACCTACAGGGTGAGTCAAAAAAAGCCGAACCCCATAAAATATATTTCATATTTAAAAAAATTGTAGCACCAAAAATAATAATGACTGGAAAGCCAATTTCATAAGCTACTGTTAGATGAAAAATGTACTGAAATTGCTCAATCCGTTCAAAGAATATCACCATTTAAACACCATGACATTAAAACCTGTCTCGTCCAAAAAAAGCAATTCATTGTGTGTTTTGACTGTTTGGAACAACAAAGAACATGACCCAGAATACTTGTTTCCACAACTGTCACCAACTGTAGTACACAATATCTTTTTTAACAACCCTGGTTAGGCAAACGATATGATACGATATGATCGCATTTTTTTGGACGAGACAGGTTTTAGAGTCATTCTGTTTACATGGTGATATTTTCTGAACGGATTGACCAATTTCAGTAATTTTTTCATCTAAAAGTACCTTATGAAATTGGCTTTCCAGTCATTATTATTTTTGGTGCTACATACTTTTTTAAATATGAAAAATAATTTTGGGGGTTTGGGTTCCGCTTTTTTTGACTCGCCCTGTACATGTAAGACAGTTTACCCATTCCTATTGGAGAACCCGTCACGTGGGTGGTTTCAAGCTGCTGATACATGTAAAACATCAACTGGTTTAATTTAAACACTTCATTCCTGCACCACTACGTTTTGCGCCACATCGCGCAGTACGCGCCGTGCGTGCCAGTCTCCATAAAAGGAGATTGTTAGCACTATGCGCGCAAGACACATACCATAGAAATGACGAAAGGGGTGTTTCACAAAACATAAGGTAAAATTGTTGAACAAAATCATTGGAAAATTGTGAATTTTTGACCTGTTTTGACTGAAAGGTAGACGAATGGGGATAAACATGTGCTTGGCTGGTATTAAACAAGTACCAGTATGGTGAAAACTGGCTAGGGACCTTGTCACGGATAATGGGACCGATCCAAATTGATCAGCGTCCAGCGTCCTAGCCGGTTTTATAGGGAAGATACAACATTTGCTAACATCAAAAAAAGAAATGATCAAGTTATCACGAAATGCCTAACTGGATTGTTAGAAAATGACAGACTGAAGCATCCTGTGAAATCGTGGTTCCTGGTGTGCTGACATTTTCAAGAAAACTTGCATTTTCCAGAAAACTGGCTTTTTTTCAAAAACTGCTTCTCATTTTTCATATTAAGTTATTCCTCATTTTCTTTGCAATTGATTACACGCCTGTGAAGGGGGTACAGGTCAGCTAGACTGATTCTCTACCTTACAATTCCCCAAAGTCTATAAATTGCTCCATTTCATCTTAAGTGGGGTCAGGGAACCAGACTCCAAGAACATGATTGGTTTTCTTGGTTTTTCCAGCATCTGCGAGCCCAAAACGTGAAACAAGTCAGTTTCAATACTTGCTATGACATACTAATTCTCCAAATCCATTTATTTCTGAAAATTACAGCAAAAGCAAATGTTGTACATTCCCTTTAAACGTATCGGTACTTGTTTAAAACTGGCCAAGCACACATATATTCCCTTATTTACCTTTACTTACATCATATACGAAGCAGAAATTTATGAATCTCCTCAAAATGCATTATATGCTGCTGTACATGGCCCTATACCTACATATATGCCTATATTGCATCTCAAAACTGTAGTGACCACTTCCCGACATTCTTAGGAACTTCCAATAATTGATACATTGACTTTAACTTGATTCTCATCTACGGTAATCTTGGTTATTGTTGATGCTTATTCTAATGCAGGTGCTGTTGTTTTGCTGGGTAAGACAAACATGTTCCGCTTCAATCATCCAGCAGAAGCAGCTAGACTCCGAGAGAAAAGAGCAGTGAGTTCATCAATTACATTTCAATTAACCAAGTACAATTAATGACAATGTAACACCTGCTACAGACTGGCATTCCAGAGTGGTGTCAAACCAAACAGCATTCAAAGTGACTGTCATTTACCCAAATAGATTTTGGTTTTTGATATCTTGCAGCGTTGTCATTCCCCATTGTTACCAATGGCAAACTTGTCATGTACGTGTACCCAACTCAAATCTTAGGAATTATTTCTCTGGAACGCCAAATGTCCCGAAAAAAAGTATGAGTACTTTCATCTTAAGATGCAGACCATACATGTAAATTTTATGTATTTGCCAATGTGGCTGCTAGTTTTGACTGAAATGCACCACGTGTTTTCCAATCTGGCCTACGTTGCAGGTCCCTTTATATCCCCTTCACAATGCAAGATACCATTGCAAGTCCTTCCAATATAGGCAGTGTATCTGTATGCAAAAAGGTGTGTCCATAACTGGATAATCAGTGGGCCCACACCTGGAAAATCAGTGGGCCCTGCAATGCCAGCCGGAGGATCATTGTTTATGTTTTTTGGACCAACCTTGATTTAACTCCATCTCATAGTTTTTTATGTTATCTCTTAGTTTCTTGTCCATGTGTGTAACATCTTCTTTTTGCAAATAACTCTTAGAGAAGAACGTTGTGGTAGTACCAAGCCTGCTGATGCACCGAGTGAGACATTCTAACCCATTAACCATGACAGCACAGCCAAATGTTTGTGTCAAACAGAAAATGTAGTTTATTTTTCACTCAAAAAAATATTAAGTTGCGATAGTTTTCTTCATATACCATGCCTAAGAAGTAGGTTGCTTGCCCTTTACTGGATTGAAAGTCGCTATCTGCATCAAGTGAAAATGTGTTACATTCCTCCATGAAAAGTGTCCCCCTAAAAGCTGGGTTTTCTATTCCTGTTAAAACTGGTATCTTTGTGACAGCTATAATACATTTTTTGGGGGACAAAAATGTGTTTTTTATAGATGCAGATAGAGATTATGGGAACAACATTGGATACTACAGCATTGTCTTAATTTGAGATTTAATTTCTGGGAAGTCCTTGCTAAACTTGATTGTATTTTATTTCCAGTCATCTATCAAACCTGAGGATGTTGAGGAAATAAGACGTGTGAGTAGACCAAATATACGTTGAATTCAAATTTCAAAGAAAAATTGTGTATCTTGCAAGGAGGGTGGTTGGTGTGCGTTGTTTGCAGTGTGTGCTTAAATGCATTTGGTCGAAAGAGTTCTAAAAGCGGTGTTGATGTTTTCAAAAATGGATAAGGTTGAATATTAATTGTGTGATGAGGTTTTATAAAAATGCATGCACAGTTCATGCATTTTTGTACGTGTACATTTGTACATGTGCCCAAGTGAAGTGGGAACTTCTTGGGTTGCCTCAAACTTGCTACACCCATTAAAAAATTATGTTGGATGATGATCAGTTGGCATTTTGCGTGGCCATGTCATGGCATGTTATTGTTTGTACATGTATGTGTTTTGAGTTTACACTGGTATCAGAGAGGTTAAGTTACGCATTTTGCTTAACACGTATGGCAACACATACTGGAAGCTTTGGGTTTCCATTTGTGTACGCTGAAAAGAACTTGAGCAGGCATTTCCAAGAATCGGTGTACATAAATCTGGTTTTTTTTGGGGGGGGGGGTTTGAAAAGTACTTCCTTTTAATGAAATAATCCTCTCAAGCGTATCGGTTGTAGTTTATTTGACTTCTGATAAAACTTCACTATCAATTTTTACCATTTTGCTTGCATGAGAAATGAGGACCTTTTTACCTAGCTCCCTTCCTTCATGTTACGAGGAATGCGAGGGTCACTCGTTTGGCATTGTGTACTGCAAAAAAAGTGCAAGCCAGCAGTTGTTCGTCTGTGAACGCATACTATTTTAGTGACGTTCATGCGTGTATCCATGACACAGTGTCCTAGGCATACACGTTCAAGCCAAAACTCATAACTCAACCTCTCTGATGCTGTATTTTGGACTGCGGGACTGTGTTTGCTTGTAAGACAGTGCGGAATAGATTTCCCAGTGAAAGGGACAAGTTGACGTATTTTAAAACATCCTTAAATTCATCCTGCTGTCTGGGGGAAACCTACTAGTTTGATAGGCTTTACAAGTGTTCACAGTCAAGTGAAAGTTAAGTTTCCCTGTTATAAGCAAATTGTGGGAAACTCAAAACAGTTGAAACTTGCTCAATAATCACTCAGTCCTCAGGTATGGGCTTCTAAACAATCTTACTTTTAAGCTTTGTAGGTTTGAAAATCAGTTTCTGAACTAATTTTCAAAACAATTTTTTTTTAGGAGGAGCTACATGTAGGTCTGGAAAGGAAAAAGCTTGATGATTAAATAGCCCTAACAGTCCTGAATCCTAAAATTTCAATATAATTTTGCACACCCCCTAGGGAGTTAGGGTTAGTGAAATAAAACATGAAACGCTTGGGCATAGCCCCACAATTTACCATGCAACAGACACAAATACCGCTGAGCCAATCATGAAAAAAAGACAATGCAAATGTCATTGCAGCTTGTGAATACATGTAGTTGTGTGTGACTTTTTAAGTGATATGTGCATGTGGCTTGTGTTTCTTAAAGCTTTTTATTTTACATTACATTTATACTCCGTGCTCCATTTGATTTACCCCAATGCAAGCTGATGACTATAGAACATGTTATTAACCTAAATTTACATTCAGTTTACTAGTTGCAGATTTTATAGATCCGATATTTTATCACCTCTTTCTCCCAGGTTTTGAAGCAGCTTTAATGTCTGTTACAAAAAATATTGTTTCCAAATTTCCTTTTTCCAATTCTTTGGTCCAGGTTTTTGTTTAATAGTTGATCTTAGGTACTCTGTGGAAATGAAAAATACACAGTTATTCGGGAGATTTTAATCAATGTATAAGCTGTTTGTATGCATTGGATACAATGTGTAAAACAAGCCCTTGTCTCTGCCCAATTACATGTATCATGATTATTTGGAGCTGGGTTTTAAAAAGAAAAAAGTTTTTCACAATCAAATTTTTGGCAGTTTCAGAATATTAAAAAAAACAAACAAACAAACAAACAAAAAGTCAATCAGAACTTGTAAATTAAGGTTGAACAAAAAAACCCCCAAAACCTTTTTTTTTTGGGGGGGGGGGTGAAAACCTAGCCTGCTTGGGAATAAATGTATAGTATCCTGTATCCTAACCGCATGTTACCATGCATGCTGACACTTGGAACCCGTTTCCTTCCCGTCTCACAGCCTCGGAAGAACAGCGTAACACTCCGAGTTCATAATAACCTAACTGTAAGTTTGCACGTACTCAGTCTCTAACAGCACAGAACCTTTTTCTTTACAGAAACGTTATCCTGCAGTTTTCGCTGCCTTGTACTTCTTTACTGACCCACTCCCTGAAAATGATTCAAATGTTGCAAAAAATGGATCGAATTACTGCCAGGCATGAGATTTTTCAGACTTTTGTCTGAATTCTGACTTTTTGAATTTGAGAGAAAGACGACATCACTATAGAAAGAAATGCATCTTTTAGACCTTTCATCCGATTTTCAGACTTATATTTAATTGGCAATCTCATCCCTGTACTGCTACTTGATAAAATGCCAGTGAAGTTTGTGCATACTGGTAGCTTTTGGGATATTTGTGTTTTGGAAAAAAGATAAATTATTATTATTATTTTTTTTTTTACCTAAGAGCTTTATAATTTGTCAAAACACACCCCCCCCAAAAAAAAATCCTTGGTGAATTACTTATTGTTACAGCCTAAATCTCATTCTGTTAAAAAGCAAGCTTAAAAAAAATCAATAATACCCAAGCAAAATTTACCCAAGCAAAATTTACCCGAGCAAATTTTCAAAATAAAACCTCACTTCCTCAAAAGAGAGGGAAAAACCTTTATTTTAGATTTTAAAAAAAGTTTTACAGAGCAGTTGTGACTGTTTGCTCATTTTCACTGAGTAGGTCATATTAACTTTGTTAACAGTTCCCTAATTATAAAATGGAATACTGGATCAAGTAATGATCCAACAGTTGTTTCTAATCCTCTCCCAATAATGTCGAAAAAAGGGTTTTGAATACTTCAGTTTCTTTCAAATGAGCAGACATCAGTGAATTAACTTGACGATGAATCCTTTGCATTCTGGGCTGTTATTGTCATTACAATTATAAGAAAAGTTATTTGTGTTCTATGTCCTTTGCATGTACATGTTGCTAGTATGGTAACATTCTGTCCTTGTGAGAATATTCTTTGGTTCCAATTCACTGTGCATGTAATTTAACTTCCGCTACATTTACTTGTAATCCATTAACTTATGCCTTTTCGCTAATCTACATACTCATTTAAGAAAATGAAAGCTAATTTTGTGTTAACTGAAAGCTGTTTTTTTTTTCATTGCAGATTACTTGTAAATGCATTTTCATTTTAACTTTACACAGCAACCAATATATCTAGCATGAAAAAAAAGCTTGTTCTGTATATTTTTGCATATGCTTTTGTTTCAGCTGCATCATAGAACTACTATTTGCATACAATGTGTATCATTGGAAAATTCATATTATGCAGACATATTTATTTTATGCTTACATGTTTGCATTTGTTATTCATTTGTATGTTGCTCTGTTTCTTTTTTCATGCCATAAATCATGCTATCATTGTCTGCAGAAGAGATTTTCCTTGATTTTTATTTTTTTTAAATTTTTTTTACTGCATTTTGCTGCAAATGACAAGCTGGTGTTAAGCTACAATCCCGGCCAAAATGGTTGGGACACTTCCTGAGCCTGCCTCGGTCACCCACTCCCCCGCTGCCCCGGTCAATGTTGTTCTCTCCAGCTGATGGAGCACACACTGCGCAATGAGAGACAACATTGACCGGGGGTTGGGGGCCCAGCGAGATTTGGCCAGTATTGTAGTTTACATTGAGGAATTCCTCATTGACTGTGAGCAAGTTACTTCATTGAACAATGGGTCCATCTGCTGGTATCATGGCTGCTTTGAAGCTAAGCTCAGGTCTGCCTTGTAATGACACAAAATAAATTTGCCTGATCAATAACTAGCTCAGTCAGTTTTTTTTTGGCCACTATTTGCAATGATAAATTGATGATTGTTAGCAAAATATCAATGTTCAAAAAGATCGACCATTATTAAAATTGAAAATACCCAACCACTGCACTGTTATGGATTGTGTTCCAGGAGGATGACAAATGTCACAGTCACCTTGCTGCAACTTTGCAAGCCGTGTCTTTGTGGCACTAACAAAACAAAACAGAAAATAAACAAATGAAAACAAACAGACAAATGAATAAAAACAAAACAAAACAAGACAAATCACAGGCCAATCTGAGTTGAGCTTCATTGTGTCTGCAAGTGTCATAGTCACTATAGACCTTATGCATTGCGGATATCTCAGAGGGTGTTCTTTGTTATTTTAATTTAGTAACAATGACTGCACAAAAGGCTTACTCATTCCTGGGTAAGCAATACAAAGCCATTGCCCTCTGGCTCTGTCTTAATGCATAAGGTCTATTGAATGAATCATAGAGCAAAGTCCATTACTCGACAGTGGCCGCCAATGGATTGTTTTTGCCTGTAAATATGCATTCATTTTTGGCTGAAAACTTAGAATGGCAAATCACTGTACACACTATACACAAATTATTTCAAGTGCTGTTCACTTTTATAAAACCTTTTCTCTGCCCTAGTGTATTTATCACATGCTGTTAAATTTCGAAACTCAATTTTTTTTTTGCGTTCTAGCATTGAGACTCATGACATTGTTTCCTTTAGAAAATTATGATAACATTTGTGCTGAAGACTTATTATAAAAATTCTGGATTTTTAAAATTGCAGCTATGTTACTGCTGGTTGAAATTCACTGAAATTTCTAGGTTACAAGTATTGAAGCCCCTGCCTCCCCGATACACACCTTGATACACACCTGTACTGTACCATTTTAGCTTCCATTTTTCTTTCTTGTTTGCTTTTCTTTGGACACTTAAACACATATGGGAACCTTGTCATCACCTAATTATATTCATGTACAATTTGACAAAGGTTGCTGTGTACATCAAAACTCACTTCAAAAGTCTATTACCCATTAGTCCCTGTCCCATTTAAAACTGCCCTGCCTATTATTCTCTTCACTGCCCTAAAACAGCCTGAGCACTCTATAGGGTTTTAGAGAATAAAAGGGAATACACACAATGTTATACAGTGTTGCGCAGATGCTATGTCATCCATGGATGTACAAGTCCCTCTTGCCTTCCCGCTTTTTTTTTTAAAGGAAACAATTGTCAAAAGTCTGGTTTGAATAAAAGGCAAATTGTATTGTTGGTCAACAACTGTTGATATTGTATCTGTCTCAATATCGACACCGACTATAGTTATTGTTTTCCGAGCAGGCCATCACCGAAGAAGGTTCTAGAATCCGCAAGATTTCCCTGAGTAGAGAGACTCCTCCATCCAGCCTTGACAGTCCGTGTGCTGTGCCGAGGGGACGAAGCCTGGACAGCTCTACCTCACCGATTCCTGAAGTCTCCTCAATCATGATGTATAACCCAGGGTGAGTCCAGACATGCATTCAGTGTCTTGGAACAAGACTAGCTTGCCTAGTCAGTGCAAGGTGCATGGACACAAAAGTCTCAGTTCAGGACCTTACATCTATTTATACACATGTACTGTAAGACTCAGTCAGTCTTTGTCAATCAGTCAGTCAATCAGTCAGTCAGAATACTATTGGCTGACCATTCGGGTTCTCAACATGTGCTAGACTGTTGTTGGAAGTGCCACAATTTTGTGAGAATAAATATAAGAGAAAAAAGCCATTGCTGAGAGAGAACATGTACTATACAAATCAGGCATTTTCAGCTGCGGATTTGATTATGCCATCAAGATGTCTTGCTAATAAAGATCTGAAGCCACAAGCAAAGAAAAGGGAGTCCCCATTTGGATAAGAACTTCCAGGGGCGAACTCAATTTTAGGCAGCATTTCCAATAAAGGAATATTAATTAAAAAGCATGGGTCAGTTATTCCTGGATATCATAAATAGGAGTTTGATGCTTTCTTAAGTAAATAAGACTAAACGAGTGGCCAGATCATCTGTTTTGGTCCTGTATCTGTGTACCATCTTTTCACATTTAAATGATGCAGTGTGGAAGATTTGTTACTTTATTAATCTATTACAATACAAATGGCACTTGGGTATCACAGTGGTCGCTGATTTTATAGCAGTAGTCATGCGGTAGTCATCAGCATAGGTTTGCCTAGTTTATAATGTGCATTATAAAGCAGGACGCTTGTGGATAAATCAAAACAAACAATCCTTTGATAGGTTGATAGACTATCAATTGGCAATAAGAAAACTTGCAATGACATTTACCTGTTGACAGTGTTGCTGTATGCAGTAATGTTTGCAGATCTATGCCGTCATTTTACAAACTTAAATCTTTGTCATGTATTTCTGTTTAGGGTTGAATTGGAGAGACAACACAAGATCAAAGTGGACAAAGTTGAAAGCACAAGGTACAGAACAGACTTTCTGGTACAACTTTATCTTTACTCTCACAATGTGTGAGTTATTGATATAATGAAAACATACACTGTCATCACCACCTAGAGGTTGCTGCAACCTCTTAGGGGCCCAAACATGGCTATGTATGTACATGTATGTGCTGATATTTTTTGGTGACCCAGGCTTTGGATGTCAGCAGGGTTCTTGCCATGTACAAACATTTGGTCGGCTCAATGTGATTAAAGTTTTTGTATACCCGATATGTACAAACAAATTCCACATCACATTGTCCTCTCCTATTTCACAAGTCCAGTCACAAGCGACATAACAAGGACTGCTCTTGTGACAGTTCATTTGAATAGCTTTTGACTTGACATGAGACTTAGAAGAACTTACAAGCATTGTTGATGGAATTGACTAAAACATTGTCACACATCTCAGTGTTTTTCATCTCACTCTGCAACATCTTCCCAAAATACAATTGAACTTGACGAAGACAGAAAGTCTTGTGCATATATGTGTAAATAGTGATGGTCGTCTGAGGTTAACATGATGATGATGTATTTCTAACAACTAATTTGACAGGAAGAGGCTTGAGGAACTACAGGACAAGGAACGCCGCACGCAGGCAGCACACCAGAAGGAGGAGAAGAGGATGAAGTTGGCCTTTGAGGAACATCAGCAAATGATCCAGGAGCAACGAGAGTTACTGCAGAGGCTGAGAGAAGAGCACGAGAAAGTGAAACAGGAGACAGAGAGAGAACTAGAAGAGATGAGACAACGTCTTGCCAAGGAAAAAGAGCAAGGTAATTAGTTGTAGTTTTAGCATGAGTGCTACCAAAAAAAAAGCTAGATCCGCTTGTTCTTAATTAGAAAGGCACATTGATGAATATTACAACACGAGGCGTTTATGAAAATCAAACTTAAGTAATCTAATGCCATTCATGGGGCACACGGCACGTTTTTAATGTGTGTGAGAATCAGGTCTCAGAAAAATAAAAAGGCTTCATGGAACCCAAGAGATTTTGCAAAGTGCTATGTATATCGGGAATGTAGCAAGCATTAGCTTTTTTATCGAATTGCAAATGACCATTTGAATGACATAATTTTGAGGTTTTTGTTTGATCTGTTTGCTTTAAAGGTCTGAAACAGTTGGAAGAAGAATGTAAGAGCTTGGGGACTGACCAGACCAGGAAAGCCTCACTTCTTGCCTTGGGTGGGGATGCAGTTCCACATGTTATTGTTCAGGGAACTGAGCCATCATCCGACCTATCAGTCCTGGACGTTGATCGCAAGAGGCTTGCTCAGATGGAGTTGATGCAGAAACAGTCGCAGAGAAAAGCTGAAGCCGTTCTTGAGAGAAGGCTGGCGGCCTTCGACAGGCAGCGCTCGGCATCACTGAGACTCATCGAACAGGAGGAGAGGAGGCTTCATGAGATTGAATGCATCCCGTCGCTCAGCGACCGATTTGCAAGTGCTTCCAATGACTCTCTGGATTCCTCCTTGAGGTCCGAGGATGAGACAAGCAATGGGATCGAATCGAGAGCTGTGATTGGATGGGGCAGGGTGAGCCCCATTGGTGGAAGGAGTGATAGTGATAGTGCCAGTGGCAAGGCTGCATCAAACTCTTCAGATAAGGAAGATAACGGGATTGAGTCTCCAATGACTAAAACTGCAACTCCTCCACCAAGTGTTAATAGAACAGGCTCAGTCGAATCCCTACCTCACAGAACTGTAAAACCCATTTCTAGTAAAAGTCAACCGTCTCCCCCAAGGCCTAATAAAGCTCCAGTTGCTACATCTCCAGTGAAGCCCAAATCAACTCCCAACTCTGTGTATTCGAGGCTGTATCAGCAGCAAGCACCCAGATTTGACTATTTACGCCGTAAACCTCATCGACCAGATGTGGAGGATCAAAGTTCTAGACAGGGACATGTGCAGGGTCGTGGACCATCAGTAAGACAAAGATCTCTAACTGATGGATCAGTGGATGTAAATGCCAGAAGCAACAGACTTAATGGAAAGACTACACATTCCAAATCTCCTAGAAATGAAAACCAAGCATCCTTGACTCATAACCAGACTAGAGACACATTGAAAACTGAGTCTAAGCTAAGAACTAAAAGTCTGAGTCCAAGACGTCTCCCAGAAAAGAGACCAATAAGTACGAATTCAATTTCGCCAGCTGCAAGGAGGAAAGAAGATGATGGGAAAGAGAGTATTCACGTACCATCTGCGAGAAGTAGGAGCAAGAGTCCTCTGAAAACACAAGCTCCCCAGAGAACAGTTCACAATTCCAAAACTCAAAATTCAAACCCCAAACCTGAAATCCAATCAAATACAACAGGCAAACAGACATCACCTGCAAGAGTTAAAAGGACCAAAACACCATCCTCCGAAAGTGCAATAGAAACAGCTATGAAGCGAAAGTCTGCTGAGAGACATAAAAATGCTTCCAAACTCAGTAAAGAACCTGTTGGTTCAAAAGGAAAATCTCCAGCAGGGACCCAGGACAAGGCAAAGGCAAATCTGCCGAGAATTGTTAAGCCTATTTCCAAGGCTTTTGAAAAGCTGAAACCGAAGGCAACTCCTCACTCAGATGCATTCTTTGTCCCTCTGGATGAAGAGAATGATGCGAAAACAGGAATCGATCAAATCGGTCAAAAGCCAACACACCTGAATAACCATGGTGATGTTGTTTTGGAAAATGAGAAACTATCTCTAGACAGGCAGCCTGCCATTGGCTGCTCGGAGTCAATGGAAGATGTAGTCTCAATACCTCAGCCCCCAAACCCTGTATCTTCATATTGTCCCAGCATCTGTGTAACAAGTGACGCCAGCTTAGATGACAGCTTCTCGAGAGCTGTTGAAGAGATTTTGTCTGATACTAATGAGTCGTTTTCTGATTCCTTGGAGGATGCGGATGAGCAACAGCCACATGCTGAATGCTGTCTAGATAGTGTGGAAGATAAACATCAGCCTTCTGAAAGTATATCTAACCAAAATGTTGACCAATCATCGAGGAGGAGAAAAAGAGGTGTTTCCGTGGAAGCGGAAGACCATCATCTTATTAGATATCCTGAAGACGGAGATACCAAACTGGCTTTGCAGGACTCTCTTGAAGATATTTCTCCTGAGGCACCTTCCACATCCACATTCCTTTTAAGAGAAAACAGATCTGAGGCTTCTCCTCACTCGGATGAACGAATCACAAGTGGGTACATATCTGATCCTTCCAATGATAATTATCTGGAAAGAACAGGTGAAGGTAGAGACTTAAACCTCAGTGTCCTTGAGGACAGGCCTTTAGAGTCGGAGGAATCCCCTCAGGAGGCGTCAGCTTTGAATAATGCCGAGGGTATCGAGGAAATCAAGTCAAGACCAGATGATAATGGCGATCTCACGCTCAGAAAAGCATCCTTGGAAATGGCAGTAATCGATTCTGGTGTTTCAACAGATAACAACAGTGTGTCGTCTGACCATACTATGAGTGGCATGGATAGGACAGCCACACCTACTGTAGTGGACAATAATCTTGATGTCTTGGTCCAGCAAGAAGTAGATTACAAGGAATGTGTGACACCTGCAGATTCCAAACGTGGCCATCAAACTGATAATGCAGCTGATGTTTCTGAAAATGCTTGGGTTAATCCTGGTGTTGATGGGACTAAAACAGATATGATTCTACAACTGGAGGAAAATGCTGTCACAAACCTTGCAGCTAACGGTAATCTCCAGGAACAGTCACAGATACCTCAGACAGACAGTGAGATTGTTCCTGCTGTTTCTGACATTGACACCTTAATAGACAATGAAGCAAAAGGAGATACAAAGGAGCAGAGAGAACCTGAAGATGTTCAGATACTTGAGAACCCAGATAAGCTCTCAAATCCGTTGCCAAGAGAGCCAGCTTCAGTGAGTACAGCGGATACGAGGTCTCCTTTGAAAACAACCAGACACAGAGATGGTACTCCCTCTATCATTGAAACAGACTCAGTTCCTGAAACGTTTTTGTTGACTGAGTGTAGTTCCAAAATTGTGACTGATGGTCCTGTACGAAAGCAGAATCATACAGAAACCATAGGAGAAACGTTACCAACAGATTGTGCTACTAATGAACTGAGGAAAACTAAAAAGTCTTGTCCTGTTGCAGAACCCAAGAGGGACGTAAAGCATTTAAAGAACACGACATCACCATCTGTTCTGAGTAACAATAAGGAAGGGAATGAATCAGAGTCTCCAAGTTCATCAGGGTCTCCAAGAAAATTGGTCAGATCCAAGGGCCAATCAGCTGTGTCCCCTTCACCTCGCAAGTCAAGGAAAAAGTTGAAGAAGCGACGGACTCCCATAAAATCCAAATCAAACAGAAAACGTGAGGAACAAGAAAGAGAGCATTTTGTTTCCGATGACACTTACAAGGGGACACCCCTATCACTTTCATACCTTCCTTTAGGAGCATCACAAGTTGACACAGATGAGAGAAGAAGTCAATCAAGTCCCTTTTCAAGTTCCCTGTCAAGCTCCAGTGCAGGCACATTTGCCAGTGAGTTCAGTCGCACAGATTCCTTGCACTCAAGAAGTCCAGATGATGAAGTTGCTTTGATTAGTGATGGAGTATCTGATCCTCCAGACCTCTCAGACCAACCAGCAACTCCGACAGACTTGATTGTTAAACCTCTACCGAGCCCTAAAACTCTGGCAGAATCTGTCTTCTGGGCTTCCTCAAGCAGCGCCAGCGGTTTGGATGAGGATGCGGTTTTAGAGGATGATGTAGAGGGTCTTGTAGAGCCACTTGAGATTCTGGAGAAAGAGCTTGGCCAGAGTTCAGACTTGAGTATTGATTATGATGATGAGGATGAATCAGGTGGGGAAAAGATGGTAGAATCTTCTGATTTCACCATCTTGGCTGATGGACAACTTGATGATACAGTGGAGGGTAACTCAACAGCAGTTATGCCAAACTCTTCCAGAGAAGAGCCTCTTCTATCACTCTTGGATGAGAACTATGACAAAAAAGGAAACAGTGACAACCATCTCACTATGCAACCATTTCAAGGAGCCAATCTTAGACCCGAGAAAGAGAACTGTCTCAGTCCATACACTGAAAGGGAAGCAAATCCTTGTTCAGACGCAACAAATAACCCACAAATCATCCGCCAGAGTGAACCTTTGCCTCCCTCTTTCGCTGACAAGCCAACCAGATTTATCAACACGTTAAATATTGAGCCATTACAAATGGCACATTCTAGCGAAGAAATCAAAGAGAGTGAGAAATCTAAATCTGGTAAAATGCCCTCTTCTTGTGCTTCAGTTCATTTTGGCAATGGTGATGTTGATCCTTGTGTCCATTTGGAGGCATCTGTTCAAGCTACTTCCTTACCAGACATCCCTCAAGATGTCAACAAGACAACTACTCCTTTATACAACATACCAGTAAGTCTAGAAAATGTGGAGACAGAGACTAGCTCATCCATTGATGATGTCAGATTTTTGCCCAGGGTTGATCAGCTGCAAATGGCAGAAGCTAATATGAGCTCAACTGATAACACTCTTGAGGTATTGGGCCACCCACAGAAGACACAAACTAAGTCTCCTGGAGTAGTTTTAGTGGAATTGAGAGAGGACATGGTACCAGACGGGGCTATTGTTGAATCAAGAGCAGATGAGTCTCAAAACCTGGTCTTGAATCGTGGGAAATTGGTTACTGAGATAAACCCATCATTGATACAAGAAGAACTTATTAGGCTGCGCACCCTCCTAAACTCGATCACCATAGCTCCTTTTGCATTTGGCCTGCCTGAGTTACAGTCCACTCCATCAGATTCCAAAAGTGAGTTAGCTGCTCTGAAGGCTGAAGAGATTCCCAAAGGACAGGAATCTCAAGGGGAAGGTTCCGTGTGTAGTATAAGTCCAGATAGCTCTACTGAAGAACTCTCAATAATTGAACAACTCCGAGGACTGTCAGAAAAGCTAGGGTCTTCTCTCCCACAGGAAGATACAACTGAAATCATGGAGAGAGCACGGACTATCTCTGATCATTTAGAACAGACTCATTCTAGTGTGTATTCCCCATCCTTAGTAGAAGAGCTAAGAGAACTGTCGAAGCAACTTGATGCATCAAAATTCCTGACAACTGAAAAGTATGAGGAAAAGGCACATCCTTTTGATTGCAAGAATCAAGACGACAATGAAAAATCTGCCCTGTTTCAAAGTGCTCAGGACTTGACTCTCTATCAGACTGCTTTTGAGATAACACAGGAAACCCTCCAACCTACACCCATTGGTAACCTTTCGCTTTCACCTGTCCAACTGCAGAGCACACCTGTACCAAGGGAAAATAATCCACTGGAATTCGCTGGAATTGACATAAAGAGTCCAGTTGTGAGCCCCATTACTTGCTATAGCAGATTTGGGCAATCGGCTTCAGAAGACGGCAAAGATGAAGTTTTTCTTGAAAACTCAGAATCTAGAGGATCAACACCTGATGTGAATGAGGTATTTCACATTGACTCTGAGTCGTCTGATGGAGAGGACTCGTCTGGTGATGAAGATGGTGCTATGGACACAGCTGAGCGGGTGTTGTCAGAAATGTCATCATTTAGACAGCAGCTTGACATACTCAGCGGTAGTGACACTTTAGATGATGATGATGATGACTCTTCTGAAGGTTCAAATGATGAGTCGACTAAGGCAGCCAATGACCCGGAGGAAGATCAGAAGACTCAAGAAGTTCTTCGCAAGACCCGACCTTCAGTTGGTTCAAGGAGCTCTCTTGAATGCTTGCTGCCAACAATCTCTGAGGAATGTCTTTCATCGTCTGATGTAGACGAGCCTCGCATTGCACCTGCAAATGTGTCACCAACGGAAAATCCACCTAAAAAATGTTATAATTTCACCCCAGAGGATCATACAGTCAGACTTGAAGATCCTCTAGATGAAGTGCATGCTGACCTTAGGCCTTGTACCTCCTCTGTGAATGAAGAGATTCCCAGCCTAAATGAACCAGCCATTCCAATCAAGTTCCTGAGAGCTGTTGCTAAGAACCTTTCTGAGGGTCAGCAAGAAGCAAGCATCTTAGAAGAAGGATCTTCACAAGAAGGCCAGTCTGCAAGGAGCCATCTGTGGGAGCCAGAAAATCCAGTTGTGGCCGAACCTTTGCTTGGCAAAGAGTTTGCTGCCACTAAGGCCAAACTGAATATGCTCGTCCGTATCTTGGGTGGTAACTGGGAATCACTGGGAGAGACATCATCAGAAGGGTCAGCTGCTTCATCGCCAGTCCAAGGAGAATTTGACATCGCTCCAAGAGAACAGATGCCACTCACAGAAGACGAGACTAATGTGTCTGCCAGCGATGAGAGAATTTACAGCACAGTTGGAAACAGATACGTTGTTACGTATGATGAGTCTGCACAGACAGATCCAATAACAGAACAGGACTTAGCCGGTCAAATGGGACAAGTGCATGAGGAATTGTCATCCACTATTGAACCAGTTGATTCTGCCTGTTCACTTGATCAATTTTCAGGTGCACAAGTCGCTGACAAATTCACACAGACAACTTTGAGACAGAAAGTAGCAGTCCTAGCTACCAAAGATTTATCTCCTCTTTATCAGAAAACAAGTGTAACTGCATTACCGACTTTGTGTTCAGAAACCTCGTCTCTCCCATCACGGCCTCAGTGCCAACCTTCATCTGATGAAGACACTGATGACATTGAAGATCAACCAGTGTCTCAGCAATTCTCCACCCATCATTCAATCTCCACAGAACAAGACCAAATAAATTCTAACCGTCTCTCATACCAACCTGACAGACTAACAGATGCTCCTGATGCTGTGCCACTAAAAAGTGCGGTGTCCCTTCCTGCTGAGCTCAAAACACCAAAATACGACAAAAAGTACGAGGATGGCAAAGGGCTTAATGAAGTCGATCAACATTATGCTTCAAAGGAAGGCTGTAAACAAGACAAAGACTTGGAGGTTGATTCTTTGCAGCCTGTGTTTTTGTTGTTACCCGCAGAGCCAATCATAAAAGCCTCAGTTGTTCTGAACAATGAAGTTCTCCGTTTTCCACCTTGTGAAGAGGATGAGTCCCTTCTCCAAAAAAGTGGTTGTGTGGAACCTACTGTAAATACTTCGAAGGATGAAGGCAAAAGGTTAGAGCAGCGTGAGGTTGAAAAGAACAGCCTTCTAGTCAAGGTTCCTGTTGAGTTGGTGCGAAAGACAGCTGTTGTTCCAAGAGATCTCAATTTTATGTGGCCGTCTGAGACCAGAAAATCTTTACCGAAACATACAACGCGGAAGGCGCCCCAAAAATCATTGCTTGATTCAAGTAAAAAAACTAATGAGCATAAATTCAGGGAGAGGCAAAAACAATCCTCCTGCTCTCCTGTGGAAGAGGTAATGATCGGAGAAACAATTGCTTCAAAGGATGTCAATTTGTCATCTTTCACTGTAGACCCCAAGCCAGGAATTGCTGATGGGGACCCACTAAATGGGATACCTGAAATCAGGTTACTCGGACCTGTTGAAGAGATTTTAGTTAAGGAAGCTGTAACCCTGAGTGATGAACCAATCATGTGGCCTTTGACAGGAACTAATCCCAATGAAAATCATCACGGGCAAACCTGTGAGCCATCTGACACAACCTCTTTGTTCCAACCAATCAGAGAGGAGTCATCCAGTCAGAATCCATCAACTGAAAACTTGCTTGCCAGAGACGAATCTGCTAGTAAGGCCCCTGTACATGGACAGCAGCTGGAGATCCAATCTGAGCACAGTGGAGGGGATACAAACCTGAACGAGTTGAAGGAGTTATCCACAGTGATGGGCCTCTCTCCACAGAGATCTTATAGCACAGATGAGGAACTGATACAAATCTTCTCCAAGGGAGTCGCTCACTTTAGAAGTCTCAAGCAGGATGTAATTAAACCAAGGCTGGTTGCTGTTGCGACCAACACTTCCCCAATGAAGACCACACTCAATGATGCTGAAAGAGTTGATGCTGCTGTCATGACTGAAGGAGAAATCGAGCAAGCTCACGCTTACACAAGCATGTCACCCAACAATGAGCAAGAACTGTGTCTGAACCAGACAACCGAAATTATACCTGAACAAGCCATGCCTCTTGCTCAATTAACAGCAGCCCAACTACTTGGCATGATTGTCGATAAACCACAGGACATGATACCTCAGCAGACCAAAGTTCCCAACAATGACAATACTATAAACACACTGGAAGTTACCAGTAGCCCACATGAGATTGAAGCACCGTCTAAAACTAATCTGGACCATGAACCAGTGCTAGACAGCATTGATCCAGAACAGCCAGAACAGCAAACGGCAGTATCTACAACACCATCATATGAGAATGCTACCAGTACAAGGCCTTATGTAGCACAAGTACCTGAAAAAAGTAAAGAAGTACATAGAGTACATTGTCAAGACTCAGAGACAGAGAAGCCACTAAAAGATGAAAGTAAGAGTCTTGATGAATCTCGCTCTTCAGAAGACAACAGGCTTGGTGATGATGTCATTGAGTTTGATGATGAGGAGCAGAGGTTGTTAAATGAACTAAGGAAGAGAACACGTGCATCTCAAGAGGCAGCTAAGAGGGCAATGGCTTGTGCACTTAAACTTCGACAGAAGAACCTCTCTGATCTCCCAATGGTGGAAAATACAAAGGTCACCCCAGATTCCCTCAAACAGCGATCAGAACCAAAAGTAAGACCAGCTATTGTCAAATCCCAAGGTGGAGAAACAAAAGGGCGAGACTCATGTCAAGAGCTGTTGATGCAGAAGGAGCCTGAACAAACTGACAGCAAGGCTTCAGTACCTGAAACTCTTCATCCCATAAGTGAGATTGCTAACAAAGAATGCAGATTTAATGTTCTGCCACTGGAGGAATTTGCCCAGAATGTATCCAGGCTCATGGAGGACGAGAGTGACAAAGATCAGATATCAACACCCACTAAAAGGATCTCCCATGCCAGAATTATTTTGAGGCAACCAAGTTATGAAGATGGTTCAACAGATTCAGGGAACAGTTCGGTCTTAGAAGTGCAATCGCCAGTAAGTCATTTTGAAAACACAGAGGACAAACAGCTTGGACCATCGAACATTTCACAGCAACCGTGCCATGGAGTGCAGGATGATGATCATGATGAGGTGAGCATATCACTGGATAACAATCTTCAGTCACGGCCTCAATTGATCACTGAACATATCCAAAAGGAGGCTCTTTGTATCAGTGATTTTGATAGACTGGCTTTAAAGGTGTCGAAGCTGGAGTGTTTTGTACCTTCAGTGGAACCAGCAAAACCAAAAACTACACCTAGCTCAGAAGAGAAGAATCCACTAAAACCTCTTGGTAGTTCAAGATTCTTTTCTCAAAGCCCAGACCAACAACATATTGATCTGTCAAGTCTGGAATTCCAACCGCAAGAAACGGACAGAGATGATGTTCACACAAGGCCGTTCATCCAGAACCTGTTAAACAAACCTGGTAATGATGTTGAACTTTTACTTCCATCTGAACTTGCCCATGAAAAATCAAACTGCAGTCACACTTCTGATGACATCGAAGAGAAGTTGGCAAAGTTGACAGAAAGTAGTCATGCTGAGAATGAAAGCACAGGAAACAGATCAGAGATTGGTGCAAAGAAAGACGACAAGACTCGTGTGAGTGATCAAAAGCTCATACAACCCGAGGATGTTGCAAACAACGGCAGTTGTGAGAGACCTGAAGACTTTACTGGAAGGGACAGTTTAAAAAGTCACAGACCACTTCTTGGATACTTTTCCGACATCAGCTTCGATTTAGACAATGACAATGATGAGGACTTAAGAGCTCTGAAAAGAACCAATGAGAACATTGACCGCATCATTGCCGAGACATCAAGCCTGGAGTCTGATTTTGAGGATGACACAGAGCCAGAGCTCGCAGAACTCGTAGATGATGAGACCGATACCTTTACCCCTCAACGATCATCTGTTGATGGTTTGGCCTCCTTCAGAATTAGCCTACAGGAGAAGCCTCTTAAGGCAAATTCTGCTCCAGCTGCTCTTGCACCTAAAGAAGCTGATGACAGCAATAACGAAAGCGAGGGTGAGGAAGAAGAAATATCTTCTCTGCGTCTCCATGGTATCCTAATTTCACCAGAGAAGCTTGAGTGGCTTCTCGCTGACTCGGAATCTGGGGAGAGTAGCTCTACTTCTTCACCAAGAGAGGAGAATGATTCTTCAAAAATGCACAATGGTGAAGATGAAGGGCCAAAGCCAACAAGGGAAACTCCAGTAAATGACAACAGAAGCAGTGGGTCAGGGAATTTTCTTGAAACGAATTCTGAGCCTGAATCCAGGGATGGTAACACTCACAAGCAACCTGGAACAAGTAACGAGGAATTAAGCGGTTTGAAAAGAGATCAACACAGCATGGAATTTGAAAATCAGCAGAGACTTGCCAAGGTGTTTGAGTATGAGGCTCCGGCAACAAAGCAGGGAATATTCCTGCCAGAGATGAAATCAATATTTGTGGTAACAAAAGATGAACAACCACATCAAGCTGGCAGTAGTGATCCTTTGCCTCTTGCCAACTCATTGCATGTGAAGGATAACAAATTAAAACCTGAAATACACGAGTCACAAGAACTAAATGAAGAAATTCAGCGACTGAAAAGTGGTCATGGAAGTAGTCTGGAGAAATCTGTGGATTTGGAGGCCTACCCGCTTGTCAATCGTCAAAAAGATTTCAAGAAACATGCCCAGGAAGGTCCTGATGATGATAGCAATTCAATATTAGATACTCTAAATACCAATTTAACCCAAAGCAGTGGTGTATTCAGTTCAAGCACAAGAGATACTGAGCTGTCGTGGTTGAGGGAGAGAAGATTGTCCTCGGAGCAGTTAAGCAGCACTAGCTCTGAAACAGAGGATGCGGACTTCAGCAGGATTCAAAAGGAGTATCGAAACATCTTAGAAGATTGTCAAGAATCTACACTAAATCCTCCAGAAAGCACTCAGTCAACGCCCACAAATGTCTTTACTCAGACTGATGATGAATCTCCTATGAGTAGCAATGATGAGAGTAGCTTTGGAAAGGAGAACATGAGGCTTGGTGCTTCCTGGCCACTTAGAGAACCCATCAGCACAAAGCTTCACCCAAGAAGAGACATTGCCGTTGAACTAATGGAAGCCAGTTTGATGCACGGCATAGGAGAGACAGATGCCTTTCTGAAGTTCTTGGACAGTGACTTACCTCTTGAGAAGTGGAAATCATCAGAGGTTACGCTAAGGCATCGTCGCAGTCAGAGTGTAGGCCCTCCATTGAAGTTAGACGGAGAAGCATCTAGACATGATCCTAGCCCAAGTAAGCAGAAACCTCGCCAGGTGAAAGTTGTCTCCTCACAACCAACCAATCTTAGATCAGAGCCCAAGGGCCAAGGAAGCTCACCAATTACCTCTCCTGAAATACCAGCTGAAAGCCCAACATCTCTGAGTCCATCACAGAATGCTTTGCCTAGTGAACGTCGCAGGTTTCTCCAGCAGCTGAGAAGCAACATAGTATCAGCAACCTCCACACAGAGACCAGAGAGAGCCAAGATAGATGCCCTCCTGCAGGACTCCTGGATGGGGAAGGAACCATCAAGATCTACTGACTCAGACCAGGAAAAGAAGCCTCGTCACATCAACGCTCCAAATCCAAACAGAGATGATATAGAAGCATTGCTTGAAGAGTCACGACATATGAGAGAAAGATCAAGGGCCGAGATTGCAAAAGCCGAGGAGAACTTAAGCCATGCAAGACCTGTCTCAAGACAAGGAGGAAAAGGAGGAAAAGACTCATTTAGAGAAAGACTTGGGGAGGGGTTTCCACCGGCAAATCAAGGCAGCCTCACTAGGGTTGATGGGATAAGTCTAGGTGCCAGACCAAAATCTGCAGAGACTGCTTTGAGCAGGAAGGAGAGAGTCGGAACCCAAGATGGATCAGAAGACAGTACTGACAATCTTCAAGGAAGTTTGGATTATACGATGAGACAGAGACGACCTCACAGTGCACATGGATCGTTGGATTTGTATAACTGCCAGGTGAGTAACAATTCATATCAGCATGACATCTCTTACATGTACTTTGTGTTTCTCATGTACATGTGTACAGGCTACACAAACTTAACCCTCAGGTCATGAAAATGCCCCCCCCCCAACCCCCCAACCCCCCCCCCCAAAAAAAACCCCAACAAATCTGAAGGTTTTGGGATTGTATCCTGAGATGCTAAAATCGATGAGCATTGTGGACAATTTCACGCCTGTTTATAAACTCTAATCATGTGATTATGACTCAACAACTTGTGCCACTCTGTATGCACGTACATTGCATATTGGAATATGAGTTGTTTACAAATGTTGAGCTTTCCTGTTTAATGTGGGAAAAATATTTAACATGAGAAAGATATTTATAGGTGTTTGATTTGCCTGTAGTCATGACGTCAAAAGTGACATGGTCTGTCAATTTGTATGCACAAATATTAGTAAACGGTTGCTTACTCTATTCTATGTACCTGGGGCTCATCTTCTTGACCTGTTTCAGTCTATCTTCAGACTACATTGAAGGTTTCATCAGATACCTGTTGCTCAAGGGGTCAACACAGAAATGTCTAGAATCATCAGATAAAGTAACACATTTGATGCGATCAAGCTAAATGAGTCGTTTGTCAGGATTTTTTATTGGGAGATACAGGCCAAAATAGGGCCACTTCATCACATCACTTCATCACATCTCTTGGTGTTCCTACTTCCATAATTTTTGAACTAAAGATGGAACCAGCATGTGGTTTTCACAGCAGTAATGCTGAGATTGAGCTCTTTTCAAATCTGTAATAATTTTTTTTTTGACCAGGGTCGACAAACGACTCGTGTAGCTTGATCACGTCACATATGCTTCCATTACTCAGAAGGTTTCGTGTATTTACGTCTAAAGAAAAGCTTATTTTAGGTGTAATTTTATTGTAGAAATTGGAATGCAACAATCATCAAAACTATTGCTTGCCATGTTTTTAGTGAGAGGCTGATTCGTGCTGTTTCCTCCCATTGATTCAGAACATGGAACTGTGTATGAGCATTTGAGGATGGAACTAATAATATCACATTTTTCATTGCCATTCTCCAGGATGCAATTGACCGAGAAATCCAGTGTCTTCGTGCAGCCTCTGCAGCCATGAGCTCTAGGCCTCCCAACCTGGCCCGCCCCGACATCCCCTCCCGGAGACCACAAACCCTGACGCACACCAACACGAAGCCATCCCCACCCCCTCCACAGAGGTATCTGCCTCCGTATGATCACGGTGCATCACGTTATGCCGAATCACCAAGACAGGGTCAGGGTACTGCATCTTCACAGACGAGGTAGGCCTATGTCGCCATTTTCACAATTTTTAGCGTAATGATGAAATTGGATGATTGTGTTAAAAATTTATGAATGTCTTTTGTACATGTAAGTCCATCTATAATTACAATTTATACATTTTATATTGCGCAAATTCCATATGAATATGATGAAATGCGCATCACAATTATTATCCCTGTTCATCAGGAATGAGACCATTTTTCTACAGCAGCTCGAGATCAGCGCAATTTGGTCTCTACCTTCACAGATACCCACAGAGAGGCAATTGTAATAAAGTGCCTTGCCCAAGAGCACAAGCACCATGTCCCCTGAACCAATGTACCATGGTACGAGAGTCGAACACCGTAACCATTGGGCCACAGCGCCCCCACAAAGGCCGGTTCATACTTCATGTGAATACAAATGCGATTCGAATTTGACGTCACAAAGCGTTCGCTGTGAAATTCGCTGGAGTTGAAATGTGTTCAATTTTTGCGAATTCACAGTGCAAAAACTCGCCCCGACATCAGAAAGTCGTGTTCGCTTTTGCGCTGAGTTTGAACTGGACTTTATGCAGTTCTGTTCAGTGTTTGTGTAACATCTCAATTTAGGCAAATGAAAACGAGAAAGCTTCTGAGATGCAAATGATATTGAAACCTTTTTTTCTGGGTCATTTGTCAGTAGGTGTTCATGTCAGGGATGTAAGTCCATCTGCAGTCAAAGGATTTCAGGCTTTTTCAAGATTGCGGATAACATATCGAGACCATGTATTTACCTCTAATTTCCCGCAAAATGGCAATGTCCACTTTATAAAAATGCCTTATTTGAATTTTAATCAATGCACATACAATGTAAGGTTACGTAGTAAAACTGAAAACAGTTTGATTTAGTCTCTTTTAATTGTTTATTTTTTTGTATTTTCCACTTCCTTGCCCATGGTAGACAAAATGAGATTTTTATTGAGCAGTCTCATTTTTTATTGTAATTTTCTCTCCTACATTTTCAGTTTCTAGCCTGCTTCTGTAACAGTTCTTACTCATAACATCTGCATCATCCCTTTGTGTGATTTAGATCGCAATCTCCCCTTGCTGTCCCCATCATCGCATTCCATCCACCATCCCCTGAGGAGATAGATCCATCTTCCATCCCTACCATCGCTCGTGCCAATGAGGTCCTCCAAGCGAGCTACAGGAGCCCCGGAAGTCTTAGATCCCAGGTTGGCGTTCCAGTTGCATCTTTGCCGCAGTCGGAAGCATCGTTGACTGATCTAGAGATGCTGCCGTCTTTGGTAAGAGGAGGAGCAAGAATGGATGTTCCCAGGACCCAGGCCAGCCTCAAGAACTCCGGAAGAGCTTCCCACGACCAGTCCAGGATATTCCAAACCACCTCACCGTCTCCAAAGTTATCGTCTTCCCACTCCTCTCATCCGTCTCCTCCCAAGAGGAGAGTTCGATTAGATTCTCCTGATGCACCGGTTGTCAAGGAGGATGCTGGATCCCCACCAAGACGATCTGGAAGACAAAGCAGGCTGAGCAGCCAGGAGAGAATGACCCCAGAGTTGCCCCCGATAATCGAGACCCCTCTTGGTGAGTTACAAAATGTGCGATTGTTATTTAAGTCCTTTGTATTTAAATCACTTGTATACGTTATACATGTAAATGTTACAGAGGTACAAAGCCAACAGTTGTATTTCATTTAATGTGCAGTGCTGATATTTTAGAAATTGCCAATTAGTTAATTTGAAATTCTTGAAATATTTGAAGAAATTTTTACAAACTTTAGATGCGATTTCGAAAGGGTCAATTCAACTTTTTAGGGGGAAGGTGACGGGTGATGAGTCTCATGGAAAATAACCAGTTTCAGGACCTGAATGCTGTCATCATGCTGTTTGTACCATTTTGTTCATGGAGTTGTCCAAAAAAAAGTAGTTTTTGTTTTATCAGTTCATGTATGCCACTGTTTAGTTATCACATACACGTTCCATATTTACATGTACAAAATGTATGTTTTAAGCATCATATCAAATGTTCATAGTAGTACACAGGAAGTTTCTTTCCACCCATTTCAAGTCACTTTGGTTTTTCTTGCTGTCTTATCTTGACAGTTTCATTGGATAGTCTCTATGAACTAGCCGCTGATCAGGCTATGGCTATCTTGATCAGAGAGGTAAACCCAGAGAATCCGCATCCAGCATGAAATCCTTACCCTACTAACGACCAAGCCCTTTTCAGATTTTACCCATGGTTGTCTCTGGTGCACAGGGGGCTGTAACAGAGTCAGTTACAAGTCACATCGTTAATCAGTTGCTAGTCTTATCACAAGTCAAGTAGAAGTCCATGCCGACTTGTAATCAAAAGTTATCAGAAGTGATCTCACGTCAATCACAAGTACATCGGGTCATCAATAGGCATCCATTCTCAAGTCCATCCTGGCTATTCAGGGTAGTTTAGAATACCTTGGCAAACCAAGGCCACTTATTAACACTTGTTGTCAGCCAATCAGATTGTCTGCGTAAACTTTGTGTCATTTCCCTACGCACTATTTATATTGTTACTTCACTGATTAAAGCAACTTTTTCCTCTCGGGTTTAGCGTGCGTTTGCTGTGCTTACTGCTTACAGTCTCTATGAAATAGATGGAGGCTCTCTTAGCAGAACATCATGTGCTTAGCACTGGGCAAATTGGGCCCCAGACGGTTTTCCAGACTGTACCGTCAGATGAGTTTGTGAGTTGGTCAGCTCTTGTAACAAGCGATTTGATTGGACAGAAATGGTACCAGTCCATATTTGGAAGTGTCATGAATAATTAATCACGCATGGTCAAAATAGTGAATATGTGGACCCGGTATGTGCCAGCTAGGGTACCGTTCTACGACTAACGTAAGACTATACCCTGTCTAGCGAGGATTTCGGAAGTCAAAGCTATTCATACTATGACAGGACATTCCTTTGTCATTGTTCATGACCTGATCCTTAGTGACTTGTGACTGGCTTGGGAATAACTTGCGATTGACTCAACCACAGCTCTGTTTGGCATTGCTGAAAATATGGGTGGGGGGTGCGGTTTGCAGAGTTTTCAAAACAATTCCATTTTTGATTTTATGACTTGCCATCAACCCTTGTTTTTCCCTTGTTTTAAGACTATCTACCCTGCAACATTTTAAAAATTGTACCTTGATAATAAGTGCATGATATCATTTGGTCAAGGGGAATTTGCATGACACATGCATGTTAAAGAATGTTATACGCATTACATCGCTTTTTTTGTCATGTGAAAGCAACCCCTTTCAAATCCAAACATGCGTACCCGGCATGGTGTACCAGGTAAATGTGCCTTTCATTGGTTTAATAGATTGTTACACTTTTTAGAGATGAACAAAAAAAGGGTTTTAAAATTGTTTGATATTTTGCTGTAAAGTTTTCATTTGATTTGTAATGAATCTTTTTCCTTTTGCAGACGACTTTGACTGGTAAAGTAGATCCCAACAAATCCAAGCAACCTATAGAAAGCAATGCATGGAGGTATGATACTAAAATGAATACAGTCGAGTCTCATTAATACAAACTCGTTCGGACCTAGCCAAATTGTTTGTTATTCAGAATTTTGTATTAAGAGGAACATCAGTCCCATTCATTGTGCACATAACGGAACAGTCGGGACCAAGGTTTTATGTTTGTTATAACCAAAATTTGTATTAACAGAGTTTTTACTAACGAGAGTCGACTGTAGTAATATCAATTTGTTTTTTCAATATTGATAATAGATGATAGGTCTTAACATTTAGCTCAACTATTTTGGCGAGAATAATATAATAATTTGATGAGAAAGAAGCAGCAAAGAGGAGCAATGTACAGAAAGCTCTGTGTTAAGGCCGGTTCATACTTCATTCGAATGTGAATGCGATGCGAATTTGAAGTCACAAAGCATTCGCTGTGAAATTCGCTGGAGTTGAAATGTGTTCAACTTTTACGAATTCGCAGTGCGAATACTTGCCATGACGTCACAAATGTGCGTTCGCTTTCGCTTTCACGCCGAGTATGACTTCAATCCAAGTTGCAAGCTTGTGACGTTGTTTGTCAACTTTTTTCTTGGCAAGCAGTGTCAATAAAATTGTTTGGAAGGATAACCCTGTTATAAAAATAAATATCCTTAGGCCTCCCAATAATACATGGGGAAAAATTCAAAGAAAATATATACAAATACAAATTGAGTCTCTAACGCGAACCTAGCAAACCTAGTTATACATTTGAAGCTCTGTGTTATTTTTTTAAGTGATTTTTTTTTTTATGTCAGGTACCAAGGACAAGAAAAAGGCATTCTCTTCTGGCAGAAAACAAATAAATATTGCCCTATTGACAGGTATGGTTTGCTTAAAATAATTGTACAAAAATATGTAAATTTAGGATCAAGTTCATTTCTTTATGTGCAAGTCTAGGTGACAAGTATTGAATGGGATCCATTTATCATATTAACATCGTTTTTTTTTCATTATTAAATTTTCGTCCACAATACTTTACTTCTGATTAAATATAAAGCAAGTGTATTACTGGCAAGTAGCTGAACCTGTTAGGAAGCGAAAAAAAAATTCCCAAAAATTTTGATTTTGAATTATATCAGAAATAACAATATTTCCTAATCCTTCATCTATAAAAGCTTTAGCAGTATTACTCTCTTGGGACAGTTTTATTGCAAGATATGTCTTAAAATGCTTTGAAAATAACCAGCTCATCATCAATATTTTTGGTTTTCAGTTTCCTTGGCCTAGGTGTACTTAAAGCTCCAGCACAGACCGTCTTTAACTTAATCAACAACTCATCCAGATACGACTGCTTACATGAAGCCATCACTGTAAGTCTTTAAAAACTTCTACATGTAGGTGACATATTTAGATTAGATTTGTCAGGATTTTTCCTGATTTCAGGATTTTTAAAGAATCTCTTTTGAAATCTGGAATTCATGAGGTTTTACCGTAAAGGTGTTGTTACCTATAAAAGTTTATATAGAACAAAAGAATTGTTTGTTTAACCCTTACCTCACCTAAAGCTACAAAATACTACTACAGTAAACTCCGGCTAAACCGACATCGTACAACTCGTCAAATCGCTCAAGTCGGCCGTCTGACTAAAGTCCCGATTGTCCGTAATGCATTTCCATTGAATTTGTTATTTCTAAGTCGGCTTTTATAAGTTCCATTTCGCTCAGGTCGTCGTGTTACTCTCGGTCCCCTCTCCATAAAAAGCATTACAAACTCCTTTGTGTAAGTCGGCATTCAACAAATCACGCATTGGCATCAACTTCCTGTACTGCGGTTGGCAAAGTGTCGAGTGAAAAGTGGTTTCGCACGGCCCGTGATCGCTGCATGCATCGGTGTCGAAAAAGGGTGTCCTACTGCATACATCGCATATGCACCATGAGCATATCAATACCAGTACCCCCTCTCGGCTGTACGCATGCGCTCTGTCCATTTTGGGGGTTGTCTTATTGAATGACTTCTGCTGCAGTCAATGCGTGCGTGGTATATACCGGACCATGCACGCACGCCTTTAATTCGTTACTGTGCACGTACACATGTATCGTGGTCTCCACTATCAATACCCCAAACGTGATGATACAATTCGAGGATTAATTTGCTGGATTCAACTCAAGCATTAAGGAGATAATCCAGGGTAAATCGAAGCCGATTAGTGCAATGAATCATGTGTGCAAAAGACCATTCATGTAAGTCGGCAAAATGACGACTTACAGCAGATGTCTGCATTCGCGTAAGCCGTCACAAATTCTCGGGTCCCGAGGGTGCCGACTTATCCGGAGTTTACTGTACTAGTAAACTTTGGTCTGAAATACTTCAGCATATAAATGTGCACACCACCCATAGTATACTGTAGTACTCAGTTCTTTATCCCAAAGTAATGGCTAGGACAAAAGGGTTAAGGGGTGCCTTTAGGCAAATACAAACATACAAAATGTCTACCATAGACCTAAAGTTGGTCTGGGTCCCTCAGAGACCAGCAAACCCTCTGCCGATTTTTTCATGGATATTTCATTTTCTCCAAATCTTCGCCCCTGATCATGGTGTCCACCCTGTACTTCAATATAGAGGGCCTTTCGGAAATCATTACCTGGATCTGTTGAATTCATTACCTTGGTTATTAAAAAAAAATGTCTAGAAGAGGTTGCAGGGTTAGTCCCAATCCATTGATTGAGAAAGAAATTTACCCGTGAAATCCGCTTTTCCATTATCATGTTTTCATCAGTCCATTTTTTGTCTTTTTAGAAGCTTTACTAGCAAATAGATACAGACAAAACAGTGCACAAAGAGTAGATATGTTGGTCTCTGTCTGAGTCAACAGAGTATAACCTTGAGTTTCAGAACCATGTTCTCTCAGAACTTACAATGTATTTCCAATTTTGAACTCAGTATTTCGTTATCTTGTACTTTATTAGAATGTCAAGCTACTGCACAAGATAGATAACACAATGAAAGTCCTCAGCATACTCTGTGATATGGACAACTGTTCACTTCAAAAGCCACGGGACTTCTGTTGTGTGATCAAACAAACACACTGGGTAAGAAACTACAAGCTGGAAAATGTTTTGAATTGAATGACCATTTCCTACATGTTTTCCAAAATGTTTGGACATAGAGTTATGGAAATTGTTGTACTGTTCCCCCCCCCCCCCCTCGTCACTCTCCATTCACCCCCCACCCCCCCAAAAAAAATCCTACATCCCCTCGATTGTGAGGTCAAATGGTATTTCACATATGAAATATAATTTTATTTTTACCTGTAAATTTGAACAATTCTAACCGTGATATGCGCTTGTCATCCAGACTTTGATTACTTTCTCACATAATCATGTTTCTGTAATATTTATTTCTAGAATGATAGGTGGTACATCGTTGCAACATCCGTGAAACATCCATCGTATCCTGCAGTGTCTACAACTGTAAGAGGACAGGTACTAGACCAAACATTTCTGTCTGCTTGAATCTTAGTGTTTAATTTTCAAGCTGTGGAAGTCCAATCCATTTTGCATTTCACTATCTCCCACAGTTGACTTCATAGAGTAAGATATGTATGTCTACATTCATAGTCACTGCTAATTAGCAGCAAGTTGTGCCAAATAGATGTTGTGGCAGCTAGAAATTTCTGCTGTCATATGCATGGACATGTACATATTTTTTTGCAAATCTGAAGTTGCATTGGTATTTATAATTCTGCCCTTGTAGTTAGCATGCTCTTTGCCGTGCCTACGGTAACTTTCCATGAAGTCATCGACAAAGCATTTTTAGCAGAAAGCGTGTGCTTATTTTTGGCAACGGCATGAAATTTAGTTTATGATACTGCTGAGCGCAAATCATTTCTTCTAACTGAAGCTGGATTCCGTCTCATAGAAACTCAGTTTAGTCAAATTAACATTTACCAGTTCACGTTGGATGACGTGTATACACGCAAAGGTTTTGCGTTATTCAGAAGGGGTGACGGATAAACACGCAACAAGCAAGGCCGGAAATATCTGTCAGCAACCCCCTTGCAGCGAGCGAGGCCGGAAATATCAGGGTGTGCTACCCGCAGTTGACGGCCTGAACCCGTCTGGCATCGAGGTTCGTGAAAAACAATTCCGTGCCTGGGTCCGGTCAATGTCAAAATAATCCCGGTGTGAACTGGTTAACAAAACTGAAATGCACAATTGAGGATACTTTGGTTTGTTATCTACATGTATCCTTCCTGCATACATGTGTACTAGTTTTTACACACATCGTAGGATCGTTCGGCTCTTTAGATTGCTTTAATAATCCAAAATGTCCGACTATGTTTTGTCTAGATTCTGTGTTGTGGCGTTTCCATGGAACCGGTCTTCACAGAGGATGGTGAACACTGTAGAATTGCACATTTATCACAGGTAAAATTGACCTTTCTACATAAAATCCTCTGACTTAGATGAAGGCAAACAAGTATTATCCCAATTGGTCCAATTACCACATTCCATCCTAATCTCAAGTCCCTTATTATTCCGACAGTCAATGTTGTAGTCGAGGTTCTTGTGATGGATCGCATCTCATTTTCAAGTCCTACTAGAAAGTATACTAAACCAATCTGAGCTATTAAGATCTGAAAACTTTATTACAAAATGCAACAGATCCATTTGAAAAAGGTGAACATTTTGCACAGTTATGAAACTTTAAAGAATAAAAACATATAACGTCCTGTTTCTAAACTTCATTTTTTGCTTTATTGTATTCATAAGTATATTACAGTCATCAAAATTGCTTTTGGGCAGCCAGGCAGCGCAGTTGCTATAATTCGTCGGATCGGTGCGCGACATCACGTAGCTGCAATCGGCTCAGTGAGAATGTGTCTCGGGCGCTGAATTCAGGCCCAATTCAAAACATGATTCAGCAACTTTTGATTTGAAATTGAGATCCTAGAATGTTGTTTTTCTCGAAATATACAGCTGAAGCTGAGCTGAAACTTCATCAGGTTAGCTGTTCAGCACCCTTCTTTAGAATTTGAGCACTATTCGTTGCTTCAAACGAACAAAATGCACAAATTACAAATGATGGACTATATCTTTAAGCATATAACAGCTAGTCAGGAGAGAGCAGGATTCTAAAAGGCAACAAAATGGTGTACAAGTGTATCGCATTTTGGAAATAGAGTCTTCATCTTTTTTTTTAAGGGAGATGGTTCTGAAATGAACCAGAGATGTTCATGGGACATATGCTTGTAGTCTGCTGTGACGCTCAGGATAATGGCTAACCACTAGAACCTGTGGTTCTTATCAATTAAAACCACCTCTTCTTTTTGTGCTAGTCCCTGTCTCCCAACAAGCTCTGTAGTGTCAGTCTTAATTATTTTCCTTTGACAATTTGACCTTTTTCCCCAACCCATTCAATCAAAATGGTGTTGATTTGTAGGTTTTCAATTGTTGCTATTTATAGATTGACCTTCAAGGTGACCTCAAGCCAACTCTAGTAAATCATTTAACCAGCCGACTGCCGCTGTGTCTTGCGCATCTAAGAGACTGCATTGAAATTGGACAACTTTAATCTGACAGGGTTTGACTCTACCCCAATTCTTGTCACCATTTGCCAAGGAACTCTCGACAGCTCTGCAACTGCCATCACTGGGATCGCACAACTTGAAGCAGGGTGGTAGTTAACATGTTGATCACAACTCATTCATCTTGAGGTCCAGTCACAAGCTAATGACGTGATCTGGGATAAAATGGATTCCTTTGTCATTGTCCATCCCCTGTTACTGTGGTTAACTGAAACCTTCCTTCTGAGTTGATGACTTGTGATTGACCTGACTACAACGCTACAACAAATACTGCTTTAAAGAGGTTGTGGAATGCTGAAAGTCCTTTTGTTTTTGATATTTTTTTATTGTAGAGTAGACCCATATATATCATAATGACAAAGTCCCATTCTTTTGTAATGTGCGTTTATATGTTTATAAAACTGAAATTCATCGAGTAATTTGTTGGTCGGCAAGCGCATAATTGAAACCAACAGTCGTCGGGTTCTTCGTAAAATGAGAAAAATCGTGACGTAATAAACAGGACTCGTTTATACTACGCTGCATCGGGAGTCCTGTTTATTACGTCACGATTTACTATGTTTTGTTTGCTGCCCCCAACGACGACTTATACACAAATTGCACGTTCGGGTCGAAACAGGACCTGAGAAACAGCTCTCAATACTCATTTCATGACAGACACAATAGTTGTTTTTATTTCATCACACCTTAGGCTACATATACCCGAAAAATGACGGAAATGTCTTCGAGCATTCCACAACCTCTGTAAAATTCATGGTTTACAAGGAATTAACGATGGCTTTGTGGAATGACATTTTGTACTATGGGCGCTATGCATGAACAAGAGAGGGGGTGCTTGTTACCACTTTCAAGAGCCAAGTGGACAGGACACACCGTTGTGTGTACCAGTTCGCGCACCTATGGCGAGAAATACAATGTACATGTACGTACAACTTATTTTATTCTGAGTGTGCACAACGTTACAGCATTGATCTTCGCATCATTGGCAGTGCCTTCCAATGTCTCGCCGAGTGGTTTCCCAACTCTCCCTTTCTTACCGTTGAGGGGGTACTTGTGCACGGAGCCCATATTGATGTCACTGCCAAAGCAAATGTGCTATAAACAAAACATTGGTTCCAACTTAAAGGGAAGAGACAACATTTGCAAACATCGAAAAACAAAATGATCAAGTTATCACGAAATACCTTACTGGATTGTTAGGGAATGACAGTCTAAAGCATCCTGTAAAATCGTGGCTCCTGGTGTGCTCACGTTTTCAAGAAAAATTTTATTTTTCCAACGCTGGTTGGCCAACCAGCGTTGGAGAAAACTTTTTTTTTTTTTAAACTGCTTCTAAATTTTCATATTTAGTTATTTCGCAATTTCTTTGCAATTGATTACACACCTGTGAAAAGGGTACAAGCCTGCTAGACTGATTATCTGACCATACAATTCTCCAAAGTCTATAAATTGCTTTGTTTCATCTAAAGTTGGGTCAGGGAATCAGACTACAAGAACATGATTGGTTTTCTATGTTTTTTCAGCATCTACAAGCCCAAAATGTGAAACAAGTCAGTTTATCAATATTTTCCATCACATACTAATCCTCCAAATCCATTTATGTCGGAAAATTGCAGCAAAAGCAAATGTTGTACATTCCCTTTAATTACGGATTGTTACAGAATAAGTCAGACATTTTTTTGGGATGCTAGAGGCTAGGTAAGGGGATAGGTAAGACAAAATCTAAAGCAATGTTTTGGTCAATTTTGTTCAGACAGTACGTAACAGAATTATGAGTACTTACAAAAATTATGTCTGGTGGGCCACTTCTCATATAATGAGCATGCAGGCCACGTACCATCCATGCTTTTCCTGTAACTCTGTTAACTCTTTCAGTGCCCGCGAAATTTGAAAAGTTTAACCCTAAAGTGCCCAACTTCGAGCGTTTTTTGTTAATTGTTCAAAATTCTGTAAAAAAAAAAAAAAGTAAATAAGTTTTACTCACTAAATTTGTTGTTGTTGCTCTCTGGTATATCCTTGGTATATTGGAAAGTCAATAGTAGTCACATACATAGTGATACACCCTGAAACACTGTCCTGCACACAGGGGAATTCCGCACTTTTTGCAGAAAATACGAGTGTCAGTGCTGCGCCCTCTCGCAAGAACTCGAATAAAAAAATAAATACGTGTCGTACAAGCATGAAAATGGTACCATTGGAAAGAGCGAGAGCGCCCCCTTTTGATAACATGTTTACTCTACCTCGTACATGTACGAGGTTTGGCGATTTTCATCACGAACATTACCTCGTACATGTACGAGGTTGGCGCTTTTGTACTAACAAATATACCTCGTACATGTACGTGTACGAGTTTGGCACTGAAAAAGTTAATGAGGAACCGGGAGGGAAAGTCTTCAAAAGAATCATGCTGTACAGCGGCCAAGTTTTATTTGTCACTCTGTCGGATATTACAACTATTTACAACTCAAACTGAACTGGCCTATGTGCACATCATAATGGGCCAGACCAAGAAATCATGGGGCCTTTCAGCTTTTATTAAAGCTTTCATATGAAGTGTGCTTATCATTAATTATCACCTTGACAAAACAATGAGTTTTTCCACCTAAGGGGAAAACAAATGTCACATTCCCTTTTTTATATTTTTCAACAAGTGGGCGCTTCTTTAAACATTTTTTATATATTATGGAAAAATTCAGTGGAAACCCAAAATTATTACAAGATCCTAACAATGTATGAAATAGACCTTATGCCTGTAGGCAGAGTCAGAGGGGAGTGGTTCTGCATCACTTGAATAAATGTGAGTGAATCTTTTTGTGCATTCATCGTAAAAGAACGCCATCTGATATTGTATAAGGTCTGTTATGACTGTGGATGTTTTCATTTGAAATCATGCGTTTCGTTTTACTTTCGAGTTTATATCCTTTTGCCACACACAATTTTATAAAGTCTGCAGTTCAGATCAAAAATGCCGTCCATTGTAGCTGTGCCTTTAAACCACTGAATCATGCAAGACTTTCTGGACTTCAAAGAAATATTGCTGCTTTTGTATTCAAATTGCCTAATCAAGCCCAGATGTCATTATTTAGCTTTATATTAAGTTAATTTAAAAAAAAAGGTCTTGTGTGTAATTTCGCTGAGTTTGTATCAACATTTTAATTGTCCATCCCGAAGCTAAATCTGTTTCCAATTGTCATGTCAAGGGGCCTGAGTTTCTTCGGCTTACCATGGAGGAATAAGAAGCACTGTTTTCGATTTGATGTAATCTAAGCACCGACTATCGCACATTCAACTGAGAGCTCTCTTGAGAGGCAGAATTTGCTGAAATGAGCGAAATTTACATTAATTTACATGGAGGCCATAAGCATGCTTAGAGGTACGTAGGAATTAACATGTGCAATTACCCAGAAACGTACCTACCGATTTAAGGAGAAAATCCTTGCTCAAAGTGGAGATAGGACGCGAGTTATCAAGGGAATCCAGTTACGGGACCCCAACGATTGTGCATACGTTCCCTCTGTTTTCTCAAAATGTTTTCTCAAAATGTAAAGTATCCACTGAGCTGAAACCTCAACAAGTTTATTGTTGTGCACCCTTCATAAGATTCTGAGCAATTTTGTTGCTTCAAATGAAAAAATGTTTAAAACCCAAATGATCCTATGTACTTTTAAGGTTGTCACATCTCTTCTTGTTTTGGGGGTAGAAAGCGCAATTTTTCTGCTTACCACAAATGAAAGCAGTATCATGGAATTGAGCTTTCGCCATTTGCGAGTTAGCCACGCCCCTTAGACAACCCAATGGAGTTTTTTAACACTAAGTTTTGTTTGTCTCAGATTTTGCGTGTTCCGTGTCCATCAGGCATGCAACTTGGAAGAAACAAAAAACGAGGAAACTCCAATCCTTACAAGACGTTGTACAGTGTTTTTTCAAGTTTCAATGGTATAAGTGTGAAGTGAAAAACGAGGAAATCAGCTGATCCGAGGAAAAGTTGCATGCCTGGTCCATTTGTATATCATGTAATTGGACAATATTTCAAACGCGAATTCAATATTTCATTCTAACGCAATTCCACTGCGATAGATCAATTGGCCCTCTATTTATCAGTAATGCTAGAAGTACACAGAAGCGTAGGAAACTGTCAATACTTTGCCATTGTAAAATTTCATAAAAAATTGTATTCTTCTTGTAATTCATTGTACATAATTCGGAAAAACGGGTAGACACTGTTTATAACATCATTGTAAAAGAAAACTACAATGTCCTGTATAATGTGTACTTATATGAACGTGTACATTTTGAAGCCATTCTTAAGAGATTTCAGCATTTTGCTGAAGCCATTGTTTTCTAAAGGTGTCAAGACTTTTATTGTATCTGTTTGAAGTGGAAAAAAAATTCAGAATTCAAATGTACATGTAATTTCATTGTTGGATTTGCATAAATTTCCCGTCCACGTTGTCAGTACTTTTAGTTTGTTGGTATACTATTTTTTTTTTTTAAATATTATGTTGAGAGGTTGAATCTCTATGTGTTTTTTGTTTGTACATTTTTGGTTTGATTTTTGATTTTTGTGTTCCGATTGTATAGTGTGAAGCTTCTAAAAGATTGAATCAGTGTTTTTGTCTTCAAGCAATAATTTATTCTCAGAGTGTAACTTTGAAAACTATGATTTGTTCGTAATTTAATGTTTCTGAGTGAGACATTTGTATTTCTATTCAGGTTGTTATTTAGTCCAGTCTTTTTTCTCCATTCAATGGATTCTTTGATGTTTTAAGTTTGAGGATGTTTTTGTTTTCCTGGTTTTGAAGCCCAAATGTTTTCTTGTTGTGGAGTGGTACTTGTAATCATGAATATTTGCTCATTTATAAGTTTGGAATATTTAACAAGGAATTCAGTTCACAAAATGGAGTCCGCGATAAGAAGATAGCCTTGCCTTGTGTTTGTAGGGAACTCTCCAGAATTCTCCAAACCCTCCAACAGTGCTCTTAAGTTTGAGGGGCATGCACTTCCATGCAAAGTTAAAGTGGACTGTACCTCCTTTAATGCTTCAAAATCCTCCAAAACCTGATTTTTGAAGGATGCTGAAAGTTTTTAAAATTCTAGCATGGAAATTTTATGGCGAGTTTTAATATCTCATGAAAAATCATGTCAGTCACAAGACTATAATTCTGAATCTTCAAAACAATCATCATATTTTGGGTAAGGCATCTACTTCACAGTTCTGTATCAGACGAGCTACATATGTTTCTTGTATTTATGGTTGGAAGATCGTTTGTTCCATACAGTTTCCCGCTTTTTGTTTTGCAATTTTTCATTTCCATAATAATCTAAATGAAAACAGATTTATTCAAATATTT